AGAATACAATCCAGGAGCAACCAACATACTACAGAATACAATCCAGGAGCAACCAACATACTACAGAATACAATCCAGGAGTAACCAACATAATACAGAATACAATCCAGGAGCAACCATCATACTACAGAATACAATCCAGGAGTAACCAACAAACATTTTTAAACTATTTTGAAAACAAACTTATCTGAAAATGATCAGTGTCTCTTTCAACAGGGTACCCTCAAAAACATTTTTTTACCATCTATATATAAATTTATCTTGACTGTCTGTCTGTCTGTTTATTGTGTATCCAATAAACGTCAAAACGGCTGAACCGATCAGGCCAAATTTTTTGTGGGACATCACGTGACCCCAGGGAAGGTTTATGAATGATAAAAAATTAAAAAATTTGCGTTTAAAAGTTTTTTATTTTGTAAAAATTTTAAAAATCTTGAAAATCAGCGAAATTTTTTCTTCTTTGTTTTAAAATGTATACAATTAGAGAACATGTGAACACAATTTAAATGAAAGATGAGCGCGAAGCGCCCTAAAAGCCTAGTTATCATAAAATTAACTGAAATTTTTGTTTTATTTAATCCTATTATTAACAATGATTTTATCTTTTAACATATACTAGACATCAACATGTAAACGTCCAGTAAAAAAAAACTACCTATTTGTAGTGGTACCGGCACGACTTGTGTTTTTAATCCGTGACCCGGCCCGACGAAGCGCAGCTCCACTATACGGATAAAATACTATCCGGGAAACCGGTACGGTACACCCGACCCACCCAGCCTCTCTCTCTCTCGAAGCGTAGGCTGAATTTTAGATTATGTTTTGATAAAATGAACGACAGTCGACAGTCCAATTATTATATGATTTTATTATGGAACCATTGACAAATGAAAATAAAAGAAAGGTCCCAAAAAACTAATCCCCCCCCCCCCTCCTGTCCCATCACTAGAATCTGCTTTAGTTCGGATCCAAAAAAAGTATACTTTGTTTTTCCTAGAACTAGGAACTAGAAAGGGGTCAGGTTATTCACTTTTTTCTTTCTAAAGCCTTTTTAAAGCCTCTTCTCATAATCCCAAATAATAAATCTGTACAACCCTCCCCTCTCCTCTCTCTCTCTCTCTCTCTCTCTGAATCTTGAGTTTCAAAAACCCCAGAGGCTTGAAATCTACACTTTTAAAGCAAATGCTAGAAACAGTATATCCTTGACGGTTCGAGAGTCATCAAAAAATTTCAAAATTAAATTAAATCTTAAGAAAAGTCATCTGAAAATAGAAATTTGGGATTTTAAGTTATCATTTCCCAAAAATTCATTCATTCTTTCAAACACCTAAACTGGTTAAATTCTCCTGTAAGGTCTTGTTTTTAAGCTGTGAAGCATGGAGTTCTCCAGATTTTTCAGAATGTAGGTTGAGGGAGGGAGGCAGGGAGCATGCAGGTAGGGAGGGGAGGGAGGGAGGGAGGGAACATTGGAATATTGGAAAAAGATTCAATTTGGGTGTAAGGGAAGGAACGGACCTAATATGTAGTAGCTTAGAAGGGAAGGATGGGATAAGAGAAGGGGGAAGGGGTGTATGCAGCAGAGATGGGGGATGGGAAAAATTGTTTGGAAGATGGGGATTAATGGGAAAAGCATTGGATGAGAGGGGTGTGTGATGGGAAACGAATGGGATGAGATGGGCGGGGGAAATTCGGTTTCTTAGCTATTTTAATTCAATCTTGATTTGGTCTATATTTAAACAATCTTTAAACTCACTGAGTTGTCTTTTTTACCTTTTTTACATAATAAGTATGAATAGAAAAGGCGAAAAACATATTTTCAAAAGAGGTCAAATTGGGATCGAAAGTCAAAGTTTGCTGGGATAAGGACCAAACTCTTAAATCCGCGTGGGGGAAAAGGGAAAAATATTAGGTGGGTGGGTAGGGTGGGTACGGTGGGTAGGGTGGGGAACGGGAAAAATATCGGAGAGTCAATTAAAAAGAAAAGTAAAGTTTAGATCGGCAAAAAACCAAGTTCTTCATTATTAGAAAAGATGAACGGAACCTAACACGATATATTTTTAAAGCGTCCTTATTTATACCTTCAGACTTATAAATAGTCATTTGATATTTTTTATTTGCGGTAACGGAATTCACTAGCTCAACTGATGGGCCATACACATTAATCAAAAATCAATTATAAATCACTTAAAAATATCAACCTTTCATATTAAAAACTTCCATATCATGAAAAGGACCAATATCATGTTAAATCGGACATTTCGAGTCATTAGCATTCATTAAAACAAAATCTGGAAAAACATTTTGTGGAAGTAATTTAAACAATTTAATTATAAAATTCAAGAAATTTGATCGTTTTGCAAAATTATGATAATTTAATTACACTTTTGATACTTTTGGTTTCATATTGGACAGTTTCGTAAATGGAAAATATTCATAAAATCCTAATCCAGGTAATTTTTTGATCGCGATATTTCATATTTAGGTTCCAGATAATGAAACTCAAAACGTTTTAGAAGACAAGCGTAAATATTTGACTAGACATTTTTAAATATTAATTGGTGTTCTTTTAACCTTTATGTTTGTTAGAATAGACACATACTTTGGTAAATAAGTATGAACATTTACTTTAAAGACATCAAAGAATTCCTGTGTTAAACGGATATTAAGTTTTCAGTAGGTTCAATCTATTCATTATATTATTAATGTAAAGGTGGGGGGGGGGGGAAGGTGGGGTTGATTATGTATGCATTGATCATTTATTCACTACAAGCTTGAATAGTATTATTTTATGTTGTAATTACAATTAGTTTAGTATTGTATACAGGTTAAATGGTTAAATGTTTGGTTACTTTGAAACCAAAATACAGGGTGCAGATTTACAAAATTAAAAAATATTTCTCAAGTCTTTCATTCATATTAACCCGACGTTTTAGTGTTTTATTGTAAAAACCCTCGTTATATTTACTTACTTTCCATGATTACTTAAATATTTCCTTTGTTTGAGGTTGCGGGATTTATAGCATAGATAATATATTATAATTTCAAGTGATCCTTCATTTAAAAAATGTGCATTGTGCATGTCTGAGTATAGCTGTGAAATCAGGGGCGTATTCAGAAATTTGACCAAGGGGGGGCTTAAAATCCACTTTTGCCCGAAAACCCCCTGAAAACCATAGATTTTACTGATCCAGGGGGGGGGGCTGGGCTCAGCCTGAATACGCCTTTGTGAGAAATAATTCGTCATTTTTCTAGTTTGAAAAGTGTTTAATTCTGACAATTTCCTCTTTCATATTGTTCCTGAACCAGAACTGCGCAAGTCAATTAACAGAGAAACCAAAATAAAAGAATCAACCATGAAAGAGAAAATGATGAATATATGCTGAATTCTTGATCTGACAAAGCTTCCAGGGTACAGTTACAAATCTGACATGCCTCTTTATTGATGGAGATTCAGTTGAAATAACATCTCCAGTCCCTTCTAGCGGCCCTTTAAATTTTTCGTCGTTTATTAAAATAAAAATTATATGATGAATGCATTTGAAATAATTGTTCACCAATGCCAAGCCATAATTCTATACTTATTTTAAGTCAATCAAAAAATTGCAAGGGTTTATGGCTTGGGTAAAACCCTTGCAAGCTAAGAGGTATAAGAGAGAAGGGGGAGAGGGGCATATTGTGCGAATCTAAGAGGTATAAGTGAGGAGGGGGAGGGGGGCATATTGTGATAAGCTAAAAGGTATAAGAGAGAAGGGGGAGGGGGGCATATTGTTAGAATCTAAGAGGTATAAGAGAGAAGGGGAGAGGGCATATTGTGCGAATCTAAGAGGTATAAGAGAGAAAAGGGAGGGGGGGGGGCATATTGTGCGAATCTAAGACGGTATTTCATGGTATCTATGAGAATCTATTTTTACAATCAAATATGAAGGTTTGGTTCATATGATCTGTTATTCCGAATATTAGGATTAGTAACAGGAAGATGGATTAGATAACACTTCGGTAGATAGATAAATAGATAGATAGATTGATAGATAGATAGATAGATAGATAGACAAATATAGAGATAGAAGGTTAGATAGATAGATAGATAGATAGATAGATAGATAGATAGATAGATAGATAGATAGATAGATAGATAGATAGATAGATAGATAGATAGAAAGATATTTAGATATTTAGATAGAAAGATATATAGATTGATAGATAGATAGATAGAGAGAGAGATAGATAACAAAATATAAATAAATAGATAGATAGATATATAGTTAGATAGATAGACAAATAGATGGATAGATGGATAGAAAGGATAGGAAGGATAGGAAAGTATGACGGATTGTGGTATTCTCTCTCTCTCTCTCTTCTGTATCCTGATGGATGGGGTTTATGGGTGCCATCCTTTATAAGTCAGAGCGTGGGGGGGGGAGGGTGTTCATTCTTTTATTTAGCCATGGGGGGGGGGTATTGATGCTTAGATCGATCATGATATAAGGGTGTGAATGGGTAAATGTAGAGGAAAATAAACAAATTTAGATTGACGAGAAGAAATATAATTTGATTTATGCAGATGCTGAAACTGGTCCGGAGAAAACAAGAAAACAACGAACAAAACTCCTATTTTGTTTCTAACAGTTCTTTCTGATTTGAGACATATTCTCAAATTAACTGACTTGGGTTAAAGAGTGGCACACGCAGATTCACAATCGTATCATGAAAACCATTATCTGATCAATAAAATGGAAATATTCCAATTTTTCTAGTTTGAAAAGTGTTTAATTTCAATAATTTCAACATATTTTTTCTGCAGCGAAAATTTGCAAGTCACTTTTGTAGAGAAGACCCTTTAAATTCATATTTGATCAGACAAAGCTTTTAAGGGTTTGTGAATGATGGGTTACCTAAAATTACGCCTGTACATTGAACTTACTGTTTACGCTATATAAAGCACTAAATATTACAGTTCTATTAAAACTGACATAATCAACAATTTCTCAGGTATGGCCCTATTTTCTTAAAAATGAATACCTACAGATTAGATTTGAAATCGTTTAAACTGATAATTTTCATGGAAAATCTAGATAATTTAATTCTAAATCTGAACTTTTATTACCAACATACATTTTACCGACCTGTCCCTTTAATAAGAAAGGAATTTACGCAAAACGTAAATTGCAGATTGAACACAGACCATAAAATATGTAATATTAGTCTCGTAAATACCTAAACTCAGATAGATAAATATATATTCAAGAGATTGGGAAAATATTGGAGACATCCCACGCCTATAGGGTGATATTGAAGAATGGAGGTAACTTACGGGTATAGGAGAATATTGGAGAATGGAGGTAACTTACGGATATAGGAGAATATTTGAGAATGTTGGTATCCCACTGGTATAAGATAGTCTTGGAGAATGGAGGCATCCTACGGGTATAGGAGAATATTGGAGACCGGAGGTATCCCACCGGTATAGGAGAATATTGAAGAATATTGGAGGTTAAAATGGAGGTGTTCTTGGCTTGGATAAGGCTAAAGAACAGGAGAAGGGAGAGGGCTGGAATATATTGCTTGTAAATTGTAAATATTAGACTCTAACCTAACCCGTAACCAATTGATATTGGTACATACAGAGTATATATATACATACATTATTGCAAAATCATAAAAGATATGAAAACTTTGTGTACAATTTTTTAAACTACAGTAAAATACATCAGATACAGCAATTGTGCAGTGTAAACAAACCAACATCACTTAAAAATATAATTTTCAAACTACGAATAAAACTTTTTTTATGTATGTAAGATCATCGAATACTCATAAAATTGCTAAAATGTCGTCTTCCTACTCCTTTGTTTTCTGGGCTTCATGCACTGTTTTATAAGGTTTTCAAAAGTATAAGCTCATTTTGATCATTTTTGATTGAAAGGCTAGTTTTTCTTTATTTAACTTAGCGATAGAATCTTCCTCTTCGATGAATATAATTTGCAAAAAGTTAAGAAGTTACAGAAAAATCCTCGAAATTTTGAGTTTCTTAAATACAAAGAACGGCAGGTTAAATATCTACATTGAAACGTTAAAACTGTTTAAGCCTATAGAAATAAAAATCTAGTTTAAATTAGAAAAAATGGGGCGGAAAGTAAATGTATTTTACCCAAGCAACTTCCAATTCATATGTAAACTGTAGGCTATCCAAAAAGGGTGATCAATATTGGAGTTTATCCAACCGCCCACCGTTTTCACTTAATAAAAATATTGTAATAAAAAAATTTAAAATTCGTCCATCTGGTTGCGAATTGACGATTTAATTTCGGAGAAAGCACCATGAGGCAAAAAAATATTTCAAAAAATTGCATGTTTTGTAAAACTTTTTTAAAAATTTCATGTTTTGTAAAACTTTCTTGAACATTTTATGCTGAATTCAAGTCCGTAAAGTTTTCTATCTAAAACTCATTCAATTTTCATCTTTTTAAAGCACTTTTCATATTTGAATTCAGCATAAAAGGAATTGAGCCTTTGCCTCAAACTAAAATTTTCTAATCCCTATATCCTTGCAACCTGATAGCGGAAACCTTGGATATTTAAAACTTAAATCATATGATTATACAGAATTCATAGTTTGAAATATCTAAAAAATTGGAATGAAAAAATATAGGGATTAGAAAATCAAAGTTTGTGGCAAAGACCCAATTCCTTTCCAAGAAATTGATGTAAAACATGAAATTTTTCAAATTATAATAAATCGTCAATTCGCAACCGTATGAACGATTTTGAAATTTTTTTATTGCAATATTTGTATCAAGTGAAAACGCAGCAATCCCCGGTGGGTGGTTACTCGTTAGCTCATTTCTGAAAAAAGTCAAAAATCAATTAGGCTTATTATCCAAGGACTCATTTCACTTTTTGAAAATGTTCCCTTTTTTCTAAAAATGGAAATAGGTCTTTATACAATATACATTGCATGATATCTACCCTTGGTTTAAGTAACTTATTAATTCACTTCTGTTTATTTAATTGTCTAGCTTGGTGGTTGCGTGGTATTATGTTTGATAACTTGAATACTAGATTATATTCAATTCGATAATTGTCATAAACTAATAATTAATGTATTTTAGGATTATAATTATAAATACAATCGGATCGGTTTTCTTTATAAATTTGATGGCCGAATGATTGAAAGAATAAAAAATAAACTTTTTTTGAGCGCTTGAATAATGTGCACATATCTACATACTTTTAAAAGGAAATGATTACTCACGTCGAACTTTTAAACAAATAGTCAAAGTTTGAAAATCTAAGGTTTACATCATTGGGTTGTAATATAAAAGTATTAAAAAATTAGTATTTGAGCCAAGTGATTAGTTTCTTTCTATTACAGCAAAAATATTTTGAAAAAGAAATTGAGTTTTTACCACAAATTATGATCCTCTAAACCCAATATTTTCAAAGAGAAAATGGCAAACTAGAATACATTCCCTCCTCATAGAAGTACATCAAATTCCTTCTCAAAAATGGCATCTGAAGAATGGTACACTTAAACTATTTTATCTTTTGAACTCGTGTTTCCTAGTCATCACATTTATTTTTTATTTTCATAGAGTTGTTACATTCTTAAATATACACAGCAGTCGAAATTTGATATGTTTTCAATCATCACACCTCTTATTGAAGTTATATTGAGAAGAACAAAAATGTTTTGAATTTCTAAAATGTATCAAATAAATTTTCTAATTTCCTTAATTTTGCGAAATATGAAAACTAGAGGCGCTACGATGTCAGTAAGCTGTACCAGTAATATTGCAACAAGTTGACCGTCTTCTTCTGGTTTGTTTGCAGTGTTTAAGATATGTTTTATTATCCCAGAAGCTTGTTGTAGAAACCTAAAAAGATGTCTTAAAATGTGGTAGCACTATACACATGCACTCATACAACCTCATCAAACATTTTCTTCATAATCGAAAACTACCCGAAGTATTTAGAAAATACAAACACTTTGTATGAAATTAGTTCAAAAGTTGCATGTTAAATAAATTTTTATATATCCCTGACTTACTGTTCCAAATTCGAAGAAATTCTGTATGACCGGTGTGTGTTTTTACACCTGAGATGAGACGAGATGAGATGAGATGAAATTTTACAGAATATTTCGTGAGTGACAGGGTTACCCACAAAGATGAGACTTCAGAGACGACTCTACAGAATTTGTACTCTGTGTTTTTTTATATTTCTGATTCCAGGCAAGTGTAAACTTGTGTCTTTCTTTGCCGAATCAGTAAAAAGGCTAAAAAAGAGAATATTCGAGGCATATTTAAAGTTGTTCAAGTCGTCTTTACAGTCTCATCCTTTGTACGGATAACCCTGTAGATCTAAAGTGCTCTAATGTACTCTATGTTTTCAAGATGTACCTTATCTCTAGTATTTATTCTGATGATAAATGTCATAGATAAATACATTGCTTAGCAATTTTATTCAGTTTTGCCAGAGTACAGAGACAAAATTTAGAATATAAATTAAATCCACTGGTTTAGTATTTGTAAAAAACGTTAAAGAGCGTTAAGATTAAAAAGCAAAAAGGAAAGAATATGATGATATTATACAAATTCATCTTTTAGGGGACATTTTTAATTTCAGGTTTTCTAATCCCTATATCTTTATAACCCAATTGCGTACACCTTACATATTATTTAGATTAAATAATTCATGTTTGAAATATCAAACACAAACATACACAAACAGGTTGCAAAGATATAATGGATTAGAAACTTTGAGTTTCTGATAAAGAATTTAACGATTTAAGAAAGTGTTTTATTTTTCAGATGTTTGAAAAATTTCTACTTATCGTGATTATTTGTTCATCAGTAACATGTCAGTCAGGTAAAATTATAATGTTTTGTCTTATCCCACGGGGTAGTTATGAAGAAGGGTTGATTAACTTGTCATGAAAGGATAAAAAGGTAATCTATCTCTGTTTGACCCAACTGAACAAGATGGTTCATTGCTATTTTTTTTAAATAAGGACATTTGTCTTCATCATTATGAGGGTTCAAATAGGTCTATTTGAATTTGTCGGCCTCTTTTGTCTGCTATAAGTATGCTAAACATTTTTCCTCAGAGACGCCCAGATATCCCCCTCGAAGTAATCCCTCTACCCTAACTGCATTATTGATTATAAAAGAGATTGTTCTAATAATTGAGCTAAACTAGTAGGCACCGAAAAACTTACTGTTTTTAGGTTGAAATAAAGCTTAAGCTTAAATGTTTTCTGTGATGCAGAAAAACAAGATTATTTCAGTTAACCAGAGAAAAAGTAATTTACTGTTCTAATTCTATGTTCAAATTGTTCATAGCTTCTGTAGCTCAGATTGTATGCTTACTAGGACAAAATATGTGTTGACTGCCATCTAGTTTCATTTCTTGAAATTAATTGAAATTCAGGGTTTGATCATAAAATATGATATTCTAGGTGTTAAGATTGAGTTCCCCTTGGTATCTGCCCTGGATAGTATAGTTTACAAGTATGGAGGAGAATCCATGAATATATCGGATACACTGGATACATTACTCAACTATTTTACTCCCTCAGGACCAGGCGTCTCACAACAATGCCTAGAAGGTAAATCAATCAAATATCTGATTCTACAAATTAACATATTTAAAAACTTTAAAAAACAATAACATCCTCTTCATAAAGGCATTAAGGAGTCATAAAGGAATCGAGTCCTTGCAACAAACTCTGGTTTTATCCCAATACGACAGACCTAATTGATATTTCACACTATAAATTCTGTTAGATCAAATAATCTAAGTTTAACGCATAAAATGTCTAAACCATCATGTTACAAAGATAAAGGTATTAATAAAAGTGAATTTGTCGCAAAGCCTCAAGATAAATCAATATGGATTAAGGGTATTCAAAATAAAAGTTTCCAGCGCTGATATTCTAACCCAGGAATATCTCTATTCTCTATTTCAGATGGTGAATACTTGAAGAAAAATATTTACCAAGGTTGGGCTCTAAAGATGATTGATGCTACAGGAAAGCTACCAGGTTCAGGAGCCCTGCAAGGTGCTCTACAAACTATACCTGGAAATGTTTACTCTTGCCTTGAGGTTGATGCAACTAGGTTCAGAGGAAAGTACTGTATTCTATCTGTAGGAGATAAGGTTGGTGATGGTGAAATACAATCAAGAAGTATCAACCCTGAAGCTATTCATCAGATAGGAGGTAGAGGTGCTCTGCTCACACCTTTATTAGAGTTTATTGCAAAAAGTAAGTTTGAGAAAGGTCACTGTGTTCCTGATTCGTGTACTGAGACAGATGTAGAGGCAGGTTGGAACAATTTCCTTGTTGAATCTGGAGTTGAGACCAACGGGTTTGTTTATAGTTGTAAAGATAACTCTCCTGTTGATGTATTACCTGCTGATTATGTTGTTCTACTGATTGTTCTCATCTTTGTGTGTCTAGTTGCTATTGGAACTATACTTGATGTTTCAGTTGAGTACCTGGATGGTCATCTGCTTCCTGAGAACATGATCATAATATTTCAAGGGTTTTCGCTTAGAAGAACTCTAGTAAAAATATTCCATGTTGGTGAAAATAAAGATAATCTGGGTTGTATCAATGGTATAAGATTTCTCTCCATGTTTTGGGTCATTGCTGGTCATTCATACCTTACAATGATAGAGTTTCCACCGTTTATTTCCAACAAAGTATTCATCTTAGAAATTATGGAACAATACTCTATGAAACTCATCTTTAATGCAACTCCAAGTGTAGATTCATTCTTTCTAATAGGTTCCACGTTGCTGGCTTTTTTAACTCTAAAAGAGTTGGATAAAAAGAACGTCCCTCCACAGAAGTTTTGGACACTCTTCTACATCCATCGGTATATAAGGCTGACGGGAGTCTATGCTGTTGTTATAGCACTTAGCGCTACCTTGTTTAAGTTTATTCCAACAGGTCCACACAACTACTTGAAGCAAGATACAGATGCTTGTCAGGAAGCTTGGTGGATGAATGTACTGTACATAAACAACTTCCATGCCGAGCTGGGACAAGAGAACTGCATGGGTTGGACCTGGTACATGGCTAATGACATGCAGATGTTTATTATCAGTCCTATATTTATCCTTGCCCTCTACCACCTCCCAATATTTGGAATAACAATGTCAATAATTTCTGTGCTTGGTACAATTGGCTTCAGAATTTGGAGAGTTCAAGATAGAGATAATGTTACATTTGATAATCTTTATAACAAACCATACTCAAGATTTGGATCTTACGCAATAGGTCTCATCTTGGGCTATATTTTATATAGGACAAAGCACATACAAAACAAAAGTCAGCTACCGAAGAACATTGCTCGACACATGAAGATAATAATTCCTATTTGTTGGTGTGTATCATTAGTTAGCATTTATTTGATTATATTCGGACCTGATTTACCTACAGAGCTAACTGACCTGGAGTTCACTATTTATCAAAGTGTGTTCAGAACGGCATGGTCTATATCATTGGCTTGGCTTATATTTGCATGTGCAAAGGTAATCATTTTTAATGGGGTTTAATTACCAAAATGTGCCTTTTCTTTTGATTTATGTCTTGCAACCCAGATTTGACTTTTGCTTAATTTTATAAGAATAATCTTCTAACTTATCATGTTTAGACTAAACTAATTGATTTTATGATACATAAGACTTTTACTATATTTTGTAATAATATAAACATAAAAACATTAAAGCTATCTTACCTAGGGATATGGTGGACCTATAAACAGTTTTCTCTCCTGGAGTTTCTGGAGTCCTCTTGCTAGAATCAGTTACTCCTGCTATCTTGTTCATTTCTTCGTCATTCATTGGACCAGCTCAATGCCAGCTTATAACCTGATGATATCCCAGCCTTACTTAATATACATGGTGATAGCAAACACAGTGGTTTGTATGGGGTGTGGGTTATTCATGGTTTTACTGTTTGAAGCTCCAATTATGCATTTAGAGAAACTTTTATTTGGATTTCTAGGAATCTCTGGACTACCAACTGTTCAAAAACCAAAGTCTGCCTGATATATGATGCTCGTGTGATGAATATTTTTTAAGTAAAAGTACAATTAAATAAAGAAAATAAAGAAAATTGATTCTCTCAGCAATTACATGAATCCAGTATCATCAAATAAAGTAAGTGTGTGCGCCCTACCTCTACTTCTAACCTCTGACAAGAATTTAGACAAAGATCTTGCATTTTAATCATCTTTTGGGGGATTTTCCATATTTTACCCGATAGAAGGTAAATCCCTAAATTCAAAAGTTTCCAAGGTGGTTGTTGAGCTTAGTATATGATGCTTTGTTGTATATCCTATAATAAAAAATTAGCATTTTTATGCAATTCAAAACTTTACTGTACTTTTCCCCGATATTTGGATCATCCCAGATCTTACTTTCTGAGACTGAAACTTTTGGTTGGTATAGTAGTCAGCACTGAATAATCCATTTTTTTAGATTATCAGACTGATCTTAAGGCAAGTAGTACAATAAACAGGCAGACCTCGTACAGACTATTTTGTTATATCTGTAACTACCCGCTCTAAAGGTTGCATGAACAAAGCTGTATTGTCCAGTCTGGACTAACCACTGCACGGGCAGCCGTAGTACAGAGCCGGGTGAGCCTTTCCGCCTCCGGTCCCAGTTTGTACTGTACCTAGCTGCATGGACAGGACTAGCCGGTGCTACAAGGTTGGCGCGGTCAGACTTGATGCTTCATAAAGGCTGAATTTACTTTTACTAGAGGGGCAAATTTGCGTGACTGTAAAGTCGATTCAGCACGTTATACGCAACAAATTTAGCCTGATGGGAAGATCACAGATCGCTTCTATACGGGACAGTATACAAAATTACCCCCCCCCCCCTTCTTATGAGATTAGTATATGTCAGCCATCATCTACTTAATTATATATTCAAAGCAAATTTCATCTTTAATTTTTTTTCAACTTTTAGATTGAAATCAATCAAAGAGCCAAGTATATATAATATATACACATGCTTACATAAAACATTTATGTACAATGTACATATATTTGCAGAATTACAGATTAAAGTAAAACAAATGATTTATTTTTGTTTAAGTATAGAACAATGGATATATTTGTGCATAAATGGAATATTTGTTTATTGAATAACTGACGTTATAAATGCATTATCTATACAAAGATACTGGATTTACAATAATATGGACTTTTTACATTATACCTATACAAAATGGGCGCTTTAAAATAAAGATTATTGAAAAATTGTGATTCCAGGTTTAAGGAATAAAAGTCAAAAATTAAGGAAAAAGTATTTACCAAAAAGGTATGATTTGAGCGGTTGTATGTAAAGCATACTATTGTTCCTACAGTTGTATAAAGTATACTATTGTTCCTACAGTTGTATAAAGCATACTATTGTTCCTACAGTTGTATAAAGCATACTATTGTTCCTACAGTTGTATAAAGTATATCATTGATCCTACAGTTGTATAAAGTATACTATTGTTCCTACAGTTGTATAAAGTATACTATTGTTCCTACAGTTGTATAAAGCATACTATTGTTCCTACAGTTGTATAAAGTATATCAATGTTTCTACGGTTGTATATTAAGCATACTATTGTTGTGTTTGTATAAAGTATATCATTGTTTCTACGGTTGTATATAAAGCATACTATTGTTGCGTTTGTATAAAGTATATCATATAAAGCATACTATTGTTCCTACAGTTGTATAAAGTATATCAATGTTTCTACGGTTGTATATTAAGCATACTATTGTTGTGTTTGTATAAAGTATATCATTGTTTCTACGGTTGTATATAAAGCATACTATTGTTGCGTTTGTATAAAGTATATCATTGTTTCTACGGTTGTATATAAAGTAATAAAGTAATTTACTGCTCTCTCGGGACTAAATATTTCTCACTTCAAAACATTAGTTTAATATATTCTCTACATAAATATACTTTCATACTTTACCAATACATTCTAATATACTTTCATACTTTACCAATACATTCTAATATACTTTTATACTTTACCAATACATTCTAATATACTTTCATACTTCACCAATACATTCTAATATACTTTCATACTTTACCAATACATTCTAATATACTTTCATACTTTACCAATACATTCTAATATACTTTCATACTTTACCAATACATTATAATATACTTTTATACTTTACCAATACATTCTAATATACTTTCATACTTTACCAATACATTCTAATATACTTTCATACTTTACCAATACATTCTAATATACTTTCATACTTTACCAATACATTCTAATATACTTTTATACTTTACCAATACATTCTAATATACTTTCATACTTTACCAATACATTCTAATATACTTTTATACTTTACCAATACATTCTAATATACTTTTATACTTTACCAATACATTCTAATATACTTTCACCCACTTTCATTATCCTTTTTTTTCTTCTTTTATTCACTTTCCTGTCCTTTTCTCATCCCCTTTCAAATTAATTTTCCTTTCTAACTCCTCTATGCAGAGTTCATTAGTTCAACAGAGTCTGTTTTAGATCCTTTAAGAGCGGTTAAAAGAAAAGAGAGATTGGGTAAGGAATCTATGAAGTTCTTTTAAGGATTTTTCTGGATTTGATTTATATTAGAGATCCATAATCAGTGTTTTCCCTTTGGTCCTATGTGAGAGACTTTGAGACAACATTAACCCAGATCTTTGTCATTTTCAAATCTTGCTTTACAACTTTGTTCACAATGTAAAAGCAAATATCAAGCTGTCTGACAAACATACTGCTTGAACCCTTGCTTATATGGTTGGAACAATTTTCAATATTTTTGACCATTTATAGAGTCTTAATCCTTTAAATATAGTTGATATTTCATAATATTTTTGATTTTTATAAATCAATATTTTGCTAACAACTTCCTTTCACAGCTGGCGCTGAATTTTCGAACATTCCTGGAAAATATGATGATGTCGTCTTCATTATCAAAAATCCTCGAAACAGAATTGAAAGTTTTCAATAGTAACTCTCGGGTCATAAAAAAAATAAAAAAATATTATGAAACATCATCTTTTTACGAATGCTTTGGAAAAAAATCGATAATTATGGGCTGTAATATCTGAATAATTTGTCTTAAAATTTCTAAATTTCAAAAATGTATGTTTTGACAAAGGAGCAATAATAACCCTAACCCCACATCAGCTTTCATAAAATCTGCTACTGTGTAAATACATAAAAAGAATTAAAAAACTAAATTTATTTAAAAATATTTTGCTTTAATAATAATACTATATGTCCCTAGAGTGCATGTTAAAAAGCAATAAACCTAAAATTATTCTGTAATATTATTTTACTGCTCTTCTCTGCAAACAGTATTCAAACATGTAGAATTTTGTTTTATAGATATTATTTTAGAATTTATTAAAAACAAAATTTATATGTCAGTATTATATGCATTATTTATATATAAATACGTATACATATATAAATTTTATTTTTATGCCTGCATTGTATCTAACCAACGTCAGAACGTCTAAACCTATGAGACCCCAATTTTTTTTAATGAGAAAACGGCAATTTACTTGCTGCCAATTAATAATGAAAAATAAGCATAATCCGATGGTAAAATTGCGGCTTGTATTTTAACAGTTAAAAGCTAAAATTATTACCAAAAACGGTGCGCTAAGCGCCCTTTAGGCTTATAGGTTTTCATAACATAAGGAAAAACCGTATTCATTAAAAAATTGAAAGGAATTGAATCATTGTCACAAACTCTGATTTTCTAATCCCTTTCTCTTTCCAACCTGTCTTTGACATTAGATATTTCAAGCTATGCAATATGTTAAATCACTTAATCTAAGTTAAAAATATAAACAGTTTACACCATCGGATTAGAAAGTTTAAGTTTGTGACAAAGACACGATTCCTTTTCATTTTATTTTTTTATTTATCCTTGAAACAAAATTTGATGTTTTGTCGCCATTTGAGTTCAGTATAAAAATCAAAATATGGAAACAGGTTTATTTGGGTTTATTCAAATGTATTTTGGAACACCCTCTATATATTTTTAAGATAACTAAAAGAACGTGAAAGAAGATGAACCCTGGATAATGGTCTTAAACGTCTATCAGGCACGTGACTCAAGTACTCAACAAAAACATATTTTTCAGACTAATTCCCTTCCAGCCAATAACCACGCCCACCCTCCCTCTCCCCCCTCTTTCCCTTCCCCGCCTCCCCTCCCCTGGAAGTCCTGATCATAAAACACTGTCATCTACAGGCAAAGCTAATGATATTTGGTGCAGAATGCAACCAACATTAGTTTCTCATCTCCTCAAACTTTTATAAATAAATCATCTAAATTTTGAAACAAAAATGTATGTGTTTAAAATTTTGATTCTAAATAACAACTCCCATAATTGAGCTCTTCTCTTTCAATCATTTCAGGCACGTTTTTAGTGTTTAGAGTAACAAACGGAAAAGTTTTACTGTATTACTATTTTTTACTGAATGTCTCTTTCAGTTTTAAGGGCAAGCAAATTATTAAAGACAGCCATGGCTTGATTCAACATGCTTCAGATAGTTATAAGTTATATAAATATTATTTGAGAAACAGAGAAATTTTTCTTGTAGAAAAAAATCCAAAAATGCTGATAAAAATGTGTTAAGTACAGACGTCATGGTGTTGTACTTGTAGGAGGCAAAGATATAAGAAATAAGATGAAAGCAGAAAAAAGTGATTTTGAGTATATTTCAACTATTTCGTTCTGAAAACAAAAGGTCAGTATTTTTACAGTTGATTCTATTTTCTATTGTATTGTTTAATATATGGATATTTCTTGTTTTAACTATAGTTCCCCTCGTTCTGGTATAATGATCTCTTTTACTCTATTGTTTACAGATATATATTATACATAGACATATTCTTCAGTACTTATTTTCAAGTAGTATATCAGGGATACAAGGAATACAGGTGATACAGCTAGAGGATACAGATATATATTATACATAGACATATTCTTCAGTACTTATTTTCAAGTAGTATATCAGGGATACAAGGAATACAGGTAATACAGCTAGAGGATACAGATATATGTTATACATAGACATATTCTTTAGTACTTATTTTCAAGTAGTATATCAGGGATACAAGGAATACAGGTGATACAGCTAGAGGATACAGATATATATTATACATAGACATATTCTTCAGTACTTATTTTCAAGTAGTATATCAGGGATATAAGGAATACAGGTGATACAGCTAGAGGATACAGATATATATTACACATAGATATATTCTTCTGTACTTATTTTTAAGTAGTATATCACGGATACATGGGATACAGATATATATTATGCATAGATATATTCTTAAGTACTTATTTTCAAGTAGTATATCAGGGACACATGGGATACAGATATATGTTATACATAGTTGTATTCTTCAGTACTTATTTTCTAGTAGTATATCAGGGATACATGGGATTCAGATATATATTATAGCTAAATATCCCTTAGTACTTATTTACAAGTAGTATATTAGGGATACATGGGATACAGGTGATACAGCTAGAGGATACAGATATATATTATACATAGATATATTCTTCAGTACTTATTTTCAAGTAGTTTATCAGGGATACATGGGATACAGATATATGTTATACATAGTTTTATTCTTCAGTACTTATTTTCAAGTAGTATATCAGGGATACATGGGATACAGATATATGTTATACATAGTTATATTCTTCAGTACTTATTTTCTACAAGTAGTATATCAGGGATATATGGGATACAGATATATGCTTTACATAGTTATATTTTTCAGTACTTATTTTCTAGTAGTATATCAGGGATACATGGGATACAGATATATGTTATACATAGTTATATTCTTCAGTACTTATTTTCAACTTTCAAGTAATATGTCAGAGATACAGGGACACAGGGGATACTGGGGGATACAGGGCAGGGGAAAGAGATTTTCGCGGTGAAATTTATTAAATTGTAAATTTCCTTCATATAAAGACGATTTTTAAAAGCCTCGTTCAATTATTTTGAAAGTACTTAAGCAAAAACTTGTAAGATATTCATACAATACAAATATATTTAGGAAACGTATCGTCTTCCATATATCTTTAGAAAAGGAAGTAGCCACATTAAGGATGATCTAATATGGATATGAAGCCAGGGTATTTAGAAACATCCTGCTCACACCGGACTAATCACGTCAATCAGAGTGAGCAGCATTCGGTTTTTTCTACTTGAAATCAAACGAGTTTTGGTCTTTAATTCAATAATCATTTACTTCACGGATTTCAAAATGCATATGCCAACAAAAAAGTATTTAATAGAAAAGGCTAACAAATTGTGTTTAATGGGTCAAATTGTGTGATCGAAAGTCACATCTTTCTGGAATATTGACAGAACCATTAAATCCACATCTGCTGCTGCCAAAATTGCCTCTATTTTCTAGTTGAAGAAAAAGACATCTATTTTGTACTTTCCATATTCATCTCTGCCCCTGCTGCTATCTACACGAATCAAGCATAAATTGATAGTACCAAATCTAGATGTTAAGTATAGTTTCCCGGCTTTGAAATTTTCCAAGCGGCTAGTTCCCCAATCTGTTCTAGCCACAACGCTCGATCCCCAGCCTTCTGACCGCTGCGCTCAGCCCATATCCCATCCTAGCCGCTTCGCTCAGCCCAGATCCCATCCTAGCCGCTGCACTCAGCTCATATCCCATCCTAGCCGCTGCACTCAGCTCATATCCCATCCTAGCCGCTGCAATCAGCTCATACCCCATCCTAGCCGCTGCGCTCAGCTCATATCCCATCCTAGCCCCCGACCCCCTTACAGCCTTCGGCTATACAGAGAGCCTAACCTAACCATTGGGAAGTTACCACTTCGAAAATACATTTGGGAAATTACCTAACAACCAAATTCTATATCTTTTATGTTATTAGTTTAGTTTAGTTTAGTTTAGTTTAGTTTAGTATAGTTTAGTTTAGTTTAGTTTAGTTAAGTTTAGTTTAGTTTAGTTTAGTTTAGTTTAATTTAGTTTAGTTTAGTTTAGTATAGTTTAGTTTAGTTTAGTTGGCCAATATTATTCAATTTTATGGTAGGTACCAATAATTGGCATTTTTTATGAATGCACAGTGAAAGCCAGAACTTCGTAATAGGAAGACGACTTTTATACCCTTGTCTTGAAATTGTATAATGAACATGAGAAACAACAATTGTACAATATAAACAACCCCCTGTAACTCAATAAGTGATTTTATAGGTTAACAGTGAAACTACGGTGGTAGGCGATTATATCAATTTCGATTTCAATTTTGATTTATATCAAGCTTTTAAACAGTATGGATACACAAAAGCATGGAAGCAAAGAGAATTGAAAAAAACTTCTTTTCAAGTCGTCTTCATTATATGGATATAATCGCCTACCACCGTATTTGCCTTGTAACACTTAATTGTTGCTTAAATGTCGTCTTCCTATTCCGGGGTTTTCCGGTTCTTACTGTAAAATGCATTGTTGTTTCATATGACCTACAGGGTGTCCCACGAAACATGACAATTGGTGAATAGTTTAGAATGTCTTCTTCCATAATTTGTTAAGTTGTTTAATACAAAGGGCAATAATAAGAATATTATATGGAAGTCATGTGTTAGTAAAATTGATTTAAAAGTAAAATATATTTAAGTAACAGATTTTTAATAAAATAAACTGCAATAAGCTTTTTATATATTTTTAGTGTATATGAAAGACGACATTCATTACTACCTACCGACTGTCATGTTTCGTGTACCAAAAGATTAAATATTTTTTAAAACATAAAAAAGATAAACTGCAAATACATTTTTATAAGAAGAAAAAACTTTAAGTACGCCTGTAAAAGCAAATCTGTCTTAATATAAATTACTAGGCTTTTAGAGCGCTTCGCGCCCATCTTCTTATTCAAAATTGTTCTCTTTGTGTTCATTGTAAAACAAACAAAAAAAGATTGGCGGATTAAAAAAATCCACGTATTTTCAAAATTTTCAAAAATCGAATTTTGTTAGAGGCAAATTTTTGAATTTGATCATGCATATATCTTGCCTGGGGTCACGCAAGGTCCCACAAAAAAATGTGGGCCCGATTGGTTCAGCCGTTTTGACGTTTATTGGATACAAACGGACAGACAAACAGACACCCAAACAAAGTATATATATAGAAGACATCTAGATATTAAAGTTTATGATTTTTAAAAACAAATTTTGTTAAAAGGCATTTCTTTTTGCAAGGAATATGGTTAAAAATATTTCTATGAACTTTTAAAATCAATTACGACATATTCCTTTTTGCTAATTCTTTATGATTAGTAAATCCCTTGTCTGTCTAGTGTCTAAGTTGGGTGTACTGATCTAGGTCCCCGACCCCGACACATTTTCTGATTTGTCACTTTACCTTCAATGCAAGCACCATGGGACAGGTTTAAGTAAATAGAAGTCAAGTGTAAACTTTGAAGTAAGGTATAGGTAATAGGTATGTATATAAGCCAGTCAAACCTGTATATAGCCCCCCCCCCCCTCTCTTACCAAGCAACCAAGCAACTATAGAAACTAGAGAGTGACTAGTAGAGTAAACACACCCAGTCGTGCATCTAAACTTGGCATGCATATAGCTTATAGCTTTCTTACATTTCTCTGTAGCTTTGATTTGTTATTAAACAACTAATAATATTTAAGTGTTCAGGGCATTAGCGGGTTAAATATTCAACCAATTTGCTGAAACTTTATCCAAATAAACAATAAAACACGTGGCATGAATAGTGAACAAACTGTGCGCTGAAAAGTAACGAAAACGGAGAAGAAAGAAAAAGCCATTTTCCTATGTAGTTTAACTCTTCGGCGCAAAATCCGCAAATCTCTGTCAGATGAATTACAAACTAATCCTATAATATTGTTTAAATGGACCGTTGCAATTCACAATACGTAAATATGGCTTGGAACTTAAAATTGAAATTACAGAAGCGTCATTTAATAGGCTTTCAATTCCGTTTTTGTAGGGGGCAACGTCCCCCTACATTAAAAGCACTCCCACCCCCCTTCCTTTTACGGCCCTGTTTGTTTTTTTTATGAATTTCTTAACAAACATGAAGAATTGACGATTTTTTTAATTATGTTTTAAATTTACTCTCGCGTAAAAAATGTTTAATTTGCGAACTTAAAAAGACTAAACAAAGTAACATTTAGTATCCTGTGAAAATCAATACATTTCTATATATAACTATATTTGAAGATTGTAACGTGCACATATAAAAAAATTAATTATTAGTTATGAAATCTTAAATTCTCATCGAAATCCAGTCATACAAAAATAATCCAGTCATGATAAAAAATTAAACTTTTTCTTGTTGAATTTTAAAAAGTCTTTTCATGCATTACATATGAACATGATTTGAACCGAAAAAGAATATTTTAAAAAAATATTTCTTCTTTTTCATGCAAACTAATGCAAACGTTAACTAAAACATGTTTAGATAAGAATGCTGAATAAATGGTTTGTTGTTCTTCTATCTTTAACCTACACAGCAGGTAAAAAAAGAGATTTTTTGCCGAATATGTTTTATAAACATAAAAGCAAGTTGTTAAAAAAGGCCTGACCCGTGTTTCTTTGTGTCATCTGATTGACAGACTACGAACAGGGTACGTTAACCAGAAAAGATGATTCCTTGCAGACATAAAAAATAATTGAATTAAAAATGCCAGAAAAAAAGACTAAAAAGGGTAAAATATTGATTTAAAAATGCTAGAAAAAAGACTAAAAAGTGCAAAATATTGAACTAAAAATGCTAGAAAAAAAAGACTAAAAGTGTAAAATATTGAACTAAAAATGCTAGAAAAAAGACTAAAAAGTGTAAAATATTGAATTAAAAATGCTAGAAAAAAAGACTAAAAATTGTAAAATATTGAACTAAAAATGCTAGAAAAAAAGACTAAAAAGTGTAAAATATTTAATTAAAAATGCTAGAAAAAAAACTAAAAAGTGTAAAATATTAAATTAAAAATGATAGAAAAAGACTAAAAAGTGTAAAATATTTAATTAAAAATGTTAGTAAAAAGACTAAAAAGTGAAAATATTGAACTAAAAACTTGGTTTATTTTGCCAAATCTCGTACGCTATTGATATCCTGTGTACGATGCTGAAAACCGCGTTTAACCTTTTGTTCCTCTTATTTGAATATGTACAGGTCGTTATTGTAGTTTCATTCTTCGTGGGTAACTCTGAACCAACACAGTAATAACCTGATAAAGTATAATAAAAGTCGTCTTTCTTAAGGCTTTATATTAAAATTAGAATTTGTATTTGCATCTGTTAAAACTCATAGTCATAGTTTGGATTAGAAAAATATGACTTTATTCCGCTTTAAACTGGTTATAACTTTATATCAGATACTGCTAAAGAAATCCTCAGATCTTCAAAAAATTGTAACAAAGGTTGTCTTATACTATACTGATTATACTGTATCTGTTGTACCGATTGTACTGTATCTGTTATACTGATTGTACTGAATCAATTGTACTGATTCTGATGTACCAATTGTACTGATTGTACTGTATCAATTGTACTGATTGTACAGTATCTGTTGTACTAATTGCTTTGTATCAATTGTACTGATTCAATTGTATCAATTGTATATTGTACTGTATTTGATGTACTCTAGGTGAACGTATAAGACCTCAGATAGATGTTAGTTATGAATATGTTGAAGAAGGAGATGCCCTGGATCTCAGGTGTAATGTTAGGGTGAGTTTTCAGATTTCATCGCAGGATTTATTTTTTAAGTTGAAACCTATACAAATTGTGTTTATAAGAGCAATTGTCCAAAAAAATTTGAAATACCGAATTATTTTTAAAGTATTTATATGGTAGATGGGCAAAACTAAGATACTCAAATAATTTTTTTGGGGCTGACCATCAAAAAATGTGTTCTCTTCGTAAATCTTTTACCTGATGTACTTGGATTATATTTTCTACACAAGTAAATTTATCTTAAAACCCTATATTTGACTGGTGTGTCTACCCTAACATCTCCGTTAGTTTACTAAAAGCAAATTCAGTTTAACTTTGACTCGGCTAAGTTTAATGTTTTGGGCCCATATAAAGTCCAATAGACAAGTTACAAAGCTAAGAATACAGGATACTTAAAAGATTTTTAAAAGTTCAAAACGAATTTCATGAATTTGAGATAGATCTCTGAACTACCTGCTTCCGATTTCTGCCGAACTTCAAGATTGAACCACCGATTTAAAAGTTAAAGATCAAGGAAGAATTTGAATCGTTTATTTAAATTTGTATATTTGTATTCAAATTCAATAAATTCGGTCCCAGCTTTTTTACTAATATTTTGTACGAATTTTACAAATATTTTGCATTTTTTAAACAAATGTTTTGTATTTTTTTTTCAGGCTCACCCTCCCTCATATACAATTAAATGGACCTGGGACAAATCAAATCTTGATGCAAGGTGAATAATTCAAGAAAAACTAAAAAAATAATTCTAGAAAATACAAGACAAAATGTTCTAAAAAACACAAAAGTATTGAAGTATCCTAAGAAGTAGTATTTGAAATAAAAAATGCCTTTTTTTAATTTTAATTTTCTTTAAATAACAGCTTTCCATCAAATAAAGATGGTTATTTAAACTTTTTTTGATATGAACTAATTAACATTTGAAAGTTTAAATTTTGGGAAATGTAAATACAAAATTTATATTTTTAATATTTTAGAGTTGAAACCCTAGATATCGGTTCCTCACATATACTCAGAATACATATACACGACAACAAATATGTAAGTTATATCTATATATATATCTAAATATCTATCTAAATATCTATCTAAATATCTATCTATCTATCTATCTAAATATCTATCAATCTATCTATCTATCTATCTATCTATCTATCTACCTATCTATCTATCTATCTATCTATCTATCTATCTATCTATCTATCTATCTATCTATCTATCTATCTATCTATCTATCTATCTTTCTATATATCTATCTATCTATCTATCTATCTATTTTTTATCTATCTACCTATATATTCATCTATCTATCTATCTATCTATCTCTATCTACCTATCTATCTATCTATCTATCTACCTATCTTTCTATGTATCTATCTATCTAGTATGACCTAGAGGGGCACTACTACTGTAGAGCTGAGAATGCTGTTGGGGAAACTGAAGCTGTTCTCACTATAGAAGGTTTTTATTTTTTTCTTCATTAGTTACTTGGTATTTATGCAAGAGACAAAGAAGAAAATTAATTTAAATTAGGAAAACGACGATATCTTCGTCATTGTTACTCAGGTTTTGTAAACCGGCAATTCACCTTTTTTAACTCGAACTTGACGGACCCTTTAATCCTTTAATCCCTTTAATCCTTTAATCCCTTTAATCCCTTTAATCCTTTAATCCCTTTAATCCTTTAATCCCTTTAATCCTTTAATCCCTTTAATCCTTTAATCCCTTTAATCCCATTAATCCTTTAATCCCTTTAATCCTTTAATCCCTTTAATCCTTTAATCCCTTTAATCCTTTAATCCCTTTCATCCCTTTAATCCCTTTAATTCCTTTAATCCTTAATCCCTGTAATCCTTTAATCCCTTTAATCCTTTAATCCCTTTAATCCTTTAATCCCTTTAATCCTTTAATCCCTTTAATCCTTTAATCCTTTAATCCCTTTAATCCTTTAATCCCTTTAATCCCTTTAATCCATTTAATCCCTTTAATCCTTAATCCCGTTAATCCTTTAATCCCTTTAATCCCTTTAATCCCATTAATCCTTTAAACCCTTTAATCCTTTAATCCCTTTAATCCTTTAATCCCTTTAATCCCATTAATCCTTTAATCCCTTCAATCCTTTAATCCCTTCAATCCTTTAATCCCTTTAATCCTTTAATCACTTTAATCCCTTTAATCCTTTAATCACTTTAATCCCTTTAATCCTTTAACCCTTTTAATCCTTTAATCCCCTTAATCCTTTAATCTCTTTAATCCTTAAATCCCTTCAATCCTTTAATCCCTTTAATCCTTTAATCCCTTTAATCCCATTAATCCTTTAATCTCTTTAATCCTTTAATTCCTGTAATCCTGTTAATCCTGTAATCCCTATAATCCCTTTAATCCCTACAATCTCTGATATCTCTTTAATCCCCATTATCCCTATAACCCCTATAAACCCTATAATCCCTGTAATACCTATAATCTTTGTAATCCCTTCAATCACTATAATCCGTTTAATCCCTTTACCCCATTATTTCCTTTAACCTCTCTAATCACTTTAACCCCTTTATTTCCTTTAATCCCTATAATCTTTATTCAATATTTGTTTATATTTTAGAGCCTGTAAATGGTAAACTGAAGATCTATGAGAACGTGAACGCAGCCGGGCAGAATACTTTTAACATGTTCATGTTCATGTTCATCCTCGTATCTAGCTTCATGAATATTATCTAAAATTATTTACATTTACAATGTTCATGTTCATATTAACTTTCATATTCATGTTCATCATAGTTTTCAGCATCTAATATCATGTTCTTGTTCATACTAATTTCCATGTCTATGTTTGTATTAAACATAAACATCTTCCTCATATGCATTAGAATTCTCATGTTCGTGTCAATGTTTATAATCATGATCAATAAACATATAAAGACCATTAATATTTTCATGATAATGCAGTTTTCATTCTTTATTTATGATCCTGCTTTCGTTCATCTTATTATCTGTTACATATTATTGTGTATTTACGGATCATGTCATGTTCATGTTTCTGTTCATTTATATAGTCATGCTCATTTACATACATTTTAATGTTTATGTTCATTTCATTTTCATGTTCCATTTCATGCTTATGTTCATTTTTATTATCATTGTGTTATTCATAACAACCATGTTTTTAATCTCAATACTATGATTAAAGCACAATGAAAATAAATCTTTTCCCAAGGGTTGTGTTCTCCGATGTTTTAGCTAAAAATCTTGATAGTTTTTCTCATAACTTGGCTCTTGGCTAGGGTTTCCAGCGAAAAGGAAAAATCGTTTCGCGAAATTTTCGCATCTTGCATGTGAAATCTGAAAATTTCGCGAAAAAAATTTCGTGAAATTTCGTTTTGTTTTCGCGAAAAAATGCGAAAAAGTATACAAAATCCGAACGAAATGCGAACGAAAATTTTCGTTATTTTTCGTGAAACGTTTCGTTCGCTGGAAACCCTACTCAAACAAACCTCAACAATATTTTAACAATGGCCCCGTTCGAGATAAGTTAAAGTTGAACTGAAACATCATTGCGCCACAACACTTTGTTTGTAACCTTCTACCTAAAGTGTTAAAAAAATGTAGATTAAATATTTTTATGCTAGCTTTGTACTGTATCTCCATACCTTATTATGGTTTAGTCAATGAAAGATTCACAAAAAAAACACTTTGTTATTTAATAATTTTACAATCCCGTCTCTTTCTGATCAGATATCGTAGAGAGAAGTTTCCTAAACCAGAAAGTGTCATTTAAAAAATTTGCATTGAGAATATACAGGTATTTTAATCATTCATTTATATTTTATAATACTTTTTAATTAATTCTTTTATATTTTATTTTTTTAGAAAACTTTTTAACGGATTTCGGAAAAGTGAATGGCGCGCGGCATTCTTAGATAGTTACGCAAGCGACAAGATAAATATTCAAATTCAAAAAAAAGGGATTGAGTCTTTGTCACAAACTCTGATTTTCAATTCCCTGTGCCTCTGGAATCCAATTTCGTAGACATTAGATATTTCAAACTATGTACCCTGTTAGATTAAATATTTAAAGTTTGAAATATCAAATATCAGGTTGCAAGGATAAAGGGATACAAAAACTTATGTTTGTGGCAAAGACTCAATTCCTTAGTGAAAAAATATTATAAAATATAAACTATATACAAATGTGTCGAAAGATAATCGATGACTATAGGTTGTAATATCTGAATGATTTGTTTGAAAATAAATTGATTTTTTACGCTCTAAGTTGTTTGAGATTTCTCATTTTGTATGGCCGCTAAGTTATTCGGTAGGAGACGTCTTTAACAATTTTCTCCTTATAGACGCAACAGATAGAAGTAAGATTAGTAGCGATCAAAAGCGCTTTTTTATCGCATTAAGCCTATACCCCCTTTCATTTTTCGCGAACACTCCCTTTAAAATCATCTGGGAAACTCTTTAAAATAGTATAGTATTGATTAATCTTCACATTGTACACTGTACATGGTAATTTTTTTACTATCGAGTGTATTTAATATGATTTGAAATATTCTGAATAATTTAAAATAAATATGCTTTTAGGTCTTTAATTTACAGCTAGTATACAGCTATACATACAATACGTGATGAATTCAACAAATGTAAAACAGTTTAAAGTTTAGTGTTGATGTGAGAGGACAAACTCTTAAAGGGACTGTATAGAAGTAATTTATAGTAATATATACAAATATAGAATTTCATGTCCGATCTTCTACGGTACCCTGTTTTCTAGAAAAGTGACATGTGCATTTATGCAGCAGGAGAAAAGAAGAAAACTGTCCGAAATTTTCCAGATAAAAAATGACGAAAGGTTTACAGGGTACCCTTGTGATCCGGACATATCGGTCTATGTCATTAATCTTTATTTTTTTCTCTCGTTATTTTCCAAGAAAGACGACAAAAAAGGATGAAAAGTAGATTGTATGAAGTGTTCAAAAAACTGTTCAAAAATATATAAAAGAATTCGAAATGTAAATTGTACAGCGCGTCCCAGTAAACATCATAACATGACAGTTCAAAGAAATATAATTCATTTATAAATATGCATGTTTATTTTTAAACAATACAATAAAGAGGTGAAGCTTAGTTCAGATGTACACAACCGACCTCCCTATTAATTAATTAATTGGGAGGTCGGTTGTATACATCACGATTTGTTTACGTATTATAACACTGTACACTTGTATATAAAGTGATCGTATTTCTAAGGGGTGGTTTTATGGAGATATTTGAATATTAGTATTGAAAATTAGATAGACACCTAATATAGATATAACGAAGACGAAGACATTTTTATCCAAAATATGCACAGGATAAAACTCAAAGAAGATTATTCAGAAATTCGTTTAATATCTTTGTAGGCAGAAGAATGAAAGAAGAAAAAAACTAACATTCGTCCAAATTCTAATAATTTGGTTTTATTTAAACATAAATAAAATTATATTTTTGAATCTTTCTTATAATTACTGTGTGTTTATGACAATGCAACAATACCCACAAAGGACGAGACAATATTGGAGACAGAAACTAAATTCAACCTTGGTTAAAGTCTACCAGATCATTAATCTTAAAAATCTTATACTTAAGGAAAAGAGGATCACTATGAGACTTGGCTTTTGAGTTATCAATTAATATTATTGCTCGTTTCTGTAAAATGTGAATTTGTTTCTTCCCCAGGCTGAAATTCCATATTCTATAATAAATGATCGAAATAAAGAGTTGTAAATGGTTAGTTTAATATTATTAATTCAGATCGAAACAAAGATTATTGGTTGTATTTAATGAAAGAATATAACTAAAAGACAAATAAATTCTTGGTGTGCCTACTGAGAATGAAATTCAATATGTACACAATAACCTTCCCATCGTCCCCCCCCCCCCGGCCCCTTCTCTTTCTGCTAAAATATGGTAGACGTTTTGAAGCCGTAAGGTAAATTTTAAAGCAAACCGTTCCGTTTCAAACCGGACCACACCAAGCCGAACAAGGCCAAACCAAGCCGAACCAAGGCGAACCGTGCCAAACAACGATTTAACAGTTTCTATATATCTCGTAGCGCGCTGAAATTCCCTTCCTAGCTTTCTCAGGATATATACCGATATAGTTGGTAGAGTAGAGGACCATAGTTCACATTGATTCAACAACATTATAGATATAACAAGTGAAAAGACAATAATACGTTATTATCTATATATATATATAGATATTCAGAAGTATAATTTTTTTACTTTTTTATAATTGCTACATTTTTTGTCAATGATAAATTGTGTATTGGTATGATATGATGGAGCGAAATAGTTTTAATTAGGTTTAATTTAATCTAATCTAATCTAATCTAATCATAAATATTGAAACCAAAGAAACTAAACACTTCTTTCAAACATGCCTGAAACTTATGTTTTCTAATTCTTATACATTACAACCTGATGGTTTTTAACTTCTTCAAACTTTCAATATATGAATTTTACTAGTCAAACAATCAAGGTCTAGACCAAAAGGTTGAAAATATATAAAGGGTTTAATTCGTTTGTTATTTTGTAGGCTAGACTGTGAGATGAAATGTTTTGCAATAAAATCAAATTCTTTTTATAAAAAAAGTGGGAGCAAAGTTTTTTATTTCACAGACTAAACCCAAGAAAAATGTTGTTTTCAATAAAAACCCATAAAAGCATTATTTTATTGTGATGACCTTTGAAAAATTATTTTCCATAAAATTGTTTTTTGAGTTTTTTTAGATTCACATGAGAAAATTCTTATTTTTCATTATCTCAAATTATTTAGGACAATTTTACTTTTTTTCTAACATTTTATTAGAGATTGTGAACAGAACCCATCACTGACAAATTCTATTTAAAGTACTGATTTATATGTATACATTAAAGTTTGTGATGAAAATGTTTAAGAATATTGAATCCCTTCCTTCTCAAAACTACAGGACCCTCAAGATTTTGGCTAAAACTGCGCTCTTTCTAGCGAATTATGCCCACTGCAGTACTGAAAACCCCTCCAATTACGCTAAGATGTATAGTCTGTACAAAAGGGCTGATCGATTTCTGACTTTTTTTTAGAAATCCCCAAAAAAACTATCTCAAAACATTAAATGTTACACCTTACTTACTTCTAAGAAATTTATTGCTGAATTCAAATTTAAAAACAAAAACGAAAAAAAAAAAAAAATTCAACAAAAACATCAAAAAGTTTAAAAGCATTTTTTGTGCTGTTTTTCGCGACTAGCTTATTCAATTTTTAATATTTTTAAAATTTTTTTTCGAATTTAAATTCTGCATAACATTTCCAAACAAAACGATGCGTAACATAATTTTTTAGGGGGGGGGGGTTAGAAGTGATTTCTTCGACATAAAATAGTCGGATCTCAACCGTATGAACGATTCTGAAATTGATTTTTGATCGCACTATTTTCTCAGTGGGCGGTTGGTTCAATTTCAATTTTAGATTATGCCCACTGTACAGTAAACAAATAAAAGTCCGACATTAAAATATAAATTGTTCTTATTCCTTCCCACGGCCTTGTATATAGTTCATGTATAGATATTGTTTGAGAAATATTTTGAACCATGATTTAGTGTTTTTCCCGTCCAGAGGTCAGAAATAATAACTTGAACCAAGTTGAGCTAAGCACGGATAGTTGAACTTATTATCTGGTGTGCATTACAAATGTAGTACTACCATAACAACTCATAACACTAAATCAGACCATTTAACTTGTTTTCTCTTTTCAGTTCAGTCGGTTAAAATTTAAGCAATAAACAAAATTAGAGAAAATATTTAAATCTTTTAGAATAAAATGCACAGCACACTGTTTGAAAAAATCCTAAAATTTTGTTCGTAAAATCGAACTTACCAATGTCATTTCAAAATTATGAACATTTTGTGAACAGATGGGAACAAAGGCGTATTCAGAGGGGTTATGGGGACTCAGCCCCCCCCCCCCTTTGATCAGTGAAATTTTTAATTTTCATTGGGGTTTTTGGGCCCAAAAAAAGGCTGAGGCCCCCCCCCCCCCCATGTAAGCCCCCTGGATAAATTCTTGAATACGCCCCTGGATGGGAATATGATAGATATCCCTAAATTTAGTTTATAAATTTCGATAAAAGTTTTATTAATTTGGGAATGCTTTCGTTCGTTTGAATTTACAAAATGTCAAGGGTTCTTCAAGCACATTTTAATGAAATAATTAACAAGAACTTTTGATCTTGAACGCTAGATCTTGATATCCAATGTGTGCACTTTTAATTCTGAATATGAATTCCTTAATAAAAATTGATTGATTTGTGTATCTGCATATAATAGAGATCAATGCATGATCCCGAGATATACCACAGAAAAGTTCTGATTTCTGGTAAACATACCTTGGAGATATATTACGAAAATCTAAGCTCTATGCCTTGTTCACCTGGTTCCAAATATTTGGTTATAAAAACTTTTTTCAAAAATTTTAATAATCCTTGCCTATGATCACTAAAGCACAAAATGTTGCAATAAAAAGAGATTTCCTTGATTTCGTTTCAAAACCAACCGCAAATAAACCACAGTTGCAATCCAACCAGCATATTGTGCACCCAATAATATAAAATTATTTAAAATTTAAAAAGTTACACTTAAAAAGAAAAACTTTTTCAGTTTTAAGTTATTAAGACAGCATTAGATAAAAGGCCGTCGTGTGTCTGATTCGATCAACAAAAAATGTTTACAAGATTTTATTTACGCATTGATTATCATGATTTTAGAGTTAAGGTGAATGATAAACGTGAATTGTACTTTTTTTAGAAAATGAGACGGATTCTTTTATTTCTCCTGGTTTTGGTTAGTCCTAGATATATTACAGGTTAAAATAAAAAACACTTCTTAAAAGTGGCCGCCCAATACCCTGGGTCTCAATACCCTTGGTCCCAATACCCTGGGTCCCAATACCCTGGGTCCTAATACCCTGGGTCCCAATACCCTGGGTCCCAACACCCTGGGTTCCAATAAACATGATATTTGTGAATATCTTAAACTCTGATCATCTTGTATGAGTTGACTTTTTTTTATTGCATGGCATGAAAGACTCTCCCACCGTTGGGTTTTCATTTAGTATTTTTATAAAATCTCTTTGTTTTGGGGAACAACGAAATCATGAAAAAATGCATTTTTTGGATTTTAATTTAATTTAGATTTTTTATGAAGATTATTTTTGCTGATAGAATTGTGTTTCATATCATCAAAAATATCATATTTAAGACTTTTAATCATTACATTTTAATGAATTTATAAAAAGTTTTGATTTTGCGTTTCATTGTTACACTTTGCGTCATCAAGCGTATCATGACTGCGTCACCAATTTTAAGGAACAATGCGTCGCAAATCACTGGATTAAAATTTTTTAATTATCCAAAATTTGTATATTTGATTTGTGATCTAGTATTTTTAAAGATAACTTAATGCATAATTAACAAGTTATGAAAAAGTTAATGAAAAATGCCAAAAGAAAATTTTTTATGGTTTTAAATCGACCTCATGCTTATTTCATCTCCCTGGCAGTTCCGGTTTGTTTAACTTCAGTTTCCGGTCTTTCTGTAAGTAAGGGTGGGACACTTAAAGTAGAAAACATAGGGTTGGATATAAAAAAATATTAAACAGGGATGTGCCTTTTTGAAAATTGATATTTTTATTCTGAAATATTTAGGAGAAAGAATACCCCCTCAAGTTGACGTGTACTACGAGTATATTCGGGAGGGAGAAATACTAGATCTTGTCTGCAGAGTTCGGGTAGGCATTCATGAACACCTATATACTAGATCTTGTCTACCGAGTTCGGGTAGGCATTCATGAACACCTATATACTAGATCTTGTCTACCGAGTTCGGGTAGGCATTCATGAACACATATAATCTATATCTTGTCTACCGAGTTCGGGTAGGCATTCATGAACACATATAATCTATATCTTGTCTACCGTACTCGGGTAGGCATTCATGAACACATATAATCTAGATCTTGTCTACCGAATTCGGGTAGGCATTCATGAACACATATAATCTAGATCTTGTCTACCGTGTTCGGGAGTAGTCATTCATGAACACATATAATCTATATCTTGTCTACCGTGCTCGGGTAGGCATTCATGAACACATATAATCTAGATCTTGTCTACCGTGCTCGGGTAGATATTTATTAACACCTATATACTTGATCTTGTCTGCCGTGCTCGGGTAGGTATTTACGAACACCTAGATACTTGATCTTGTCTACCGTGTTCGGGTAGTCATTCATGAACACATATAATCTTGATCTTGTCTACTTGGTTCGGGAAGGTATTTATGAACATTCGATCTTGTCTACCGTGGTTTGGTAGGCATTTGTTAACTCCAATAATCTAGATCTACCGTCTTCGGTTAGATAATTATGAACACCTAGGTACTAGATCTTGGCTGCTGTGTTCGGGTAGGCATTTATTAACTCCTAGATACTAGATCTTGACTGCTGTGTTCGGGTAGATATTTATGAACACCTAAATACTAGATCTTAACTGCTGTATTCTGGTAGGTATTTGTTAACTCCTAGATGTTAGATCTTGCTTGCCGTGTTCGGGTAGATATTTATGAACACCTAGATACTAGATCTTAACTGCTGTATTCTGGTAGGTATTTGTTAACTCCTAGATACTAGATCTTGCTTGCCGTGTTCGGGTAGATATTTATGAACACCTAGATACTAGATCTTAACTGCTGTATTCGGGTAGGTATTTGTTAACTCATAATTACTAGATACTTTCTGCCTGTCTAGGTATTTATTTATTAACACCTTGTCTGCAATGCTCGGATAGGCATTTATTAACACCTAGATCCTGTCTTTTCACTATATGTTTTTTAGGCTCATCCACCCTCGTTTACAACTAAATGGATGTGGGATAAAGACGACCTTGATGCCAGGTAAACTTTATAATAACTATTTAAAAAAAAAATATTTCTAAAAGTGCCAATATTTTAAACTTATGTTTACTTTATTTTAAATTTTATACCTTGTGGTATCTACATATTCACCCTCGGCTACATACAGTCATGTTCAGTTCTCTGACCGAATAAAGAAAAAGTTTAGAGTTTATTAGATACTGGTATACTCAAAAAAGTCTTTGGTATGGTCAAACGCAAGCAAGTCTCTTTTGTATAGAAACCACTGTGAAAAATAATGAATTTCTACTGGAAGATCATTCTTTATCAGACAAAGCTATTAGGAGTATATACCGGTGTATAACGGATATACTACTATTAGGAGTATATACCGTTGTATAACGGATATACTACTATTAGGAGTATATACCGTTGTATAACGGATATACTACTATTTAAATGGAGAATTACTATTATACTATAACAGTCTCTTTAAAAACATTTACTTTAATTTCAACCTTTTCATTAAAAAGTTGCTCAGGATCCATTTAATTTTGATGCGGATCCGGATCCGGATCCGGATCCTGGATCCGCACTGGAAAAAAAATGGATCCGGATCCAGGTAATTTCTTTAAGATTTACTGAATTTTTTTAACAAAAAATAATTTTCTAATTTTTTGTTTTATTTTTTTTCACTTGTTTTTATCCTAAAACTTGATAAACCATTCAGAAATAAGGAAATTTTTATAATCTTTCTTTTTTCAAAAGTTCATAATTAGGGTTTATGAGTAAAAAAGTTTTTTTTTTGCAGTTTTTGGTTGATATTTTACCCCTTGGATCCGGATCCGGATCCAGGAAGCCAAAATCTTGCGGATCCAACGGATCCGGATCCTTAACACTGTTAAAAACATATTAATATCTACGCGCAACCTGTAACTTGTATTTATCCGGTTTTTTCCAGTTTTTTATCATTCAGAGTCACGCGCTGTGACAAGTTCAAAACAATCATTAAAAATATTGAAAACCAAAATATATATTTAACATCTGTCCCAACACAATCTGGAGGCTGAAACACATTGTTGGCCTAAAAGTATTGAAAGACCCAACACTATCAGAAGACCAAAACTAATTTTTGTCCAAAAATATTAAAATACCTAGATATGTTTGTACTCTCTATTCCATATTGTATTTAACGACTGAAAAAATATTTCTTTTATTTGTTTCAAAAATATTTGTGTAACTTTTATTAATTTACTAAGGGAGCATTTGCGAAATTATTTCCGAAAAATTTTTCATTTTATCATACTTTATCCCATTCTTACTATTTTAAATGTTCAGTGGAAAATACATTTTTTCAAAAAAATAATGTTTTTTTTCTATTTTAGGGTAGAAATAAAAGATTATGGAAACTCTCATATTCTTCGCATTCACATTCATAATCAGGATCATGTAAGTAAACACAGTGGTCGGCTTTTATATCAATACATTCAACACGACTTTTTATTCAAGTTTGATTTCTAAGTTTCTAACAATTCCTTTTTCAAATTGTAATCTTACAAGTAAACAAAGAGAAGCTGTTAATTGGAAGCTTTTCTTTTTTTATTTGTATGTGAATCCATGCTGTTTGAAAGCTTGGTAAATATCAAAATTTATAACAGAAAGTCGTTTTTATTTTATTGATATTTACGACGACGACTGTAATTCATTATATAAAGGTTTACCGTTCTTGTATACAAGGAATATACTGTGGTTTCAAACGACAACCCTTCATTTAATGTTCTATGTTAAAATATAAAAATGTTTTGATTTTTCCTAAAAAAATGAAATTCTGAAATATTTTGTTTAAGTATGACCTGGAAGGATACTATACTTGCATAACTGAGAATGCGTTTGGAGAAAGTCAGGCTACACTGAGGATTGATGGTAAGATATTTATTAAAGGGAGTCATGATCGGGGTGTCCCCAGGGGACAGACTAGGGGGAGCGGAATATTGATCTAATTGATCAAGGAAATAAAGTCTCAATACTAAGCTGCCATTAACAAAATAAAATAATGATCAGGTCGAGACCAGTTATTATTAGAGTTAAATTTAGTTTAAAAACCAGTAGAACACTTTGTCAAAACTCATCAAATCGGCTCTAATTTTAACTTTAGGTTGAAAACTAATGGATTTTAACTTGAGATTAAGCTTTTAAAATCACGGCCTCTAGAAACATAAAGAACAATAAACCTAGAACGGAGAGTAAGAGAATAAGATAAAGACTAAACTAGAAAAAAGATTAAGAGTTATAACATATAAAAATCTACATTATAAGTTTTAAATGTCACAACTCACAGTTGTGATGTGATACTTCTAATTGTACTTTACATAGTTTTCACTGTCTTAACATGGTATAACTGTTATTTGGAGTTTTAAATACTTGAAATATTTTTTATTAGATGTTTTATGATTAATTATTATTATTCTAGAACCTGGAACTGGTGAACTTGTGATTACTGAGGTACTAAACGGGGTTCCTGGAGTACAGTGTACTGCTTCTCTTATTCTATTTGTACTCACTGCAATGTACCTAATTTAGTACAATAGTTTCACTCACTGACACCCACCAAATTTAATTTAATAATCGGTTTCATCTATCTTCATTTTTTTCTTATTTCTATTCACCCTTCGCATTTGTTCATTTATCCTTCTGTATACAACATGATTTAATCAAGTACTCATCAATTTATTGTAAATATTGCTCATTTAAAAGAAGCTAATGCTATATCGTTAACGAATGTTTTTTTACACACCTTTTACATAAATTGTAAACCTTCCTTAAAGAAACTGTAACATAATTTAAAGCGAATAATTGACCTTAGTAGTTTTTTTTATCTAAAGATACTCATTTTGGGAATTATATGTTGTTTAAATGTTTTTGAATACAGTAAGAACCAGAAAACGGTGGAATAGGAAGACGACATTGAAGCAATGCTAAATTACGTTTATTTGATTTATTAAGTGAAAATGATCTGTTTACACACAATTGCTGTGTAGCATGTTCATTTGACTATTCAAAGTCATAACGTGATTCTAAAAGTCGTCTTTCTATTCCAGAGATTTCTGGTTGCATGTCACTGTATGCATTTATGTTGTACTGTACTGTAAGTGGAAAGAATTAATGTACATTTTACCTTACAATAATCTGTCCGTCACAACTTACATATTTACAACTTACATATTCAAATATTTTATTTTATTCTTGCTCAACGTACAAAATCAAAAAGAAAGTGTTTTTTGACGTTTTATTTTGTATCTACCCTTTCTTAATAAATGTACAAGTTTCTTAAAAGCTATGAACATGTACCCCTATATAATAAATAAGTAGATATATACCTGAACTCCAAGAAATTGTAAATATGTTATCAAAAAATGTCCATTCAGTTAAATTTAAAAGCACCAAAGAGATTTTTGCCAACTTCCAAATATATCCAAAAATGCGTACAATATTTCAAAACTTGGTTTTGTAATTTTATATCTTACTCCCAAAAAAGTTCTGTAATTAGTGTTAATAATATATATAGTTGTAAATGTGTCTTTGAAATAAGTGAGAGGAGAGAACTGCAATTTTTAGAATAAATGTCAGCCTACGATGATACATATGAATTATGATCTTGGAAAATCGAAATTAAGTTTTTGTTTGGAAAATTATCAAAAGAAAGTGTTGGATGCATTCATTTCAAATACTACTATTTATCTTTCAAAAGTTAGTCTTTTAGAAGATCGTCTTTCAGAAGTTTTTTATGAGTCTGTCTTTCAAGCGTTTGTCTTTCAAAAGTGTTCTTTTCAAAAGTGTGCCTTTTTAAGAGTTTGTCTTTCAGAAGTCTGTCTTTCGGAGTTGTCTTTCAGGAGATTTTTATGAGATTGTCTTTTAGAAGTCTGTCTTTCAGAGTTTGTTCTTAAGGAATTTGTCTTTCAGTAGTCTGTCTTTTAGAAGTCTGTCTTTCAGATGTCTGTCTTTCAGAAGTCTGTCTTTCTGGAGGCTGTCTAACAGGAATTTATCTTTCAGAAATTTCTTTTTCATAAGCCTGTTATTCAGGAGATTTTCTTTTATGATTTTGTCTTTCAGTAGTCTGTCATTTAAGAGTGTCTTTAGTAGTTTGTCTTTCAGAAGTCTGTCTTTGAGGAGTTTTCTGTCTTTCAGAAGTTTGTCTTTCAGAAGTTTATCATGTCTCCAACTGAATAAACATTAATGATGCAAACCTGAAACCAGATCTGTCTTCATTTTTTTTATCATAATACAGGTTTACAGATTAATCACTAACCAGGGGTTCAAATCAAAATTCAGTCAAATATTTCGTAATAATATAAATATTATGTTAATATATACATAAAATATCAGAAAAACTGTTGCTCTTTGGCGTTTGAAATGAAATTGTGTTCAAAAACTTAACTAGTTTTTCAAATATAAGGAAACTAAGATTAAGTAGGTTACATTTCTGAGGGAAGAATATATATTTTTCAAGACAACTCTATAAAAGATGGCGGACATATTGGTTTCAACCAGTTCTCTCTGATCTATTCAAGAACTATGGAGGTATATTTGTCTTCAACCGGCAATTTTAAAGTACATTCATCAGTAAAGGGATTGTATAACCAGCAGTACATCCATCAGTAAAGGGATTGTATAACCTGCAGTACATTGATCAGTAAAGGGCTTGTATAACCAGCAGTACATCTATCAGTAAAGGGATTGTATAACCAGCAGTACATCCATCAGTAAAGGGATTGTATAACCTGCAGTACATCCATCAGTGAAGGGATTCTATAACCTGCAGTACATATATCAGTAAAGGGATTGTATAACCTGCAGTACATCCATCAGTAAAGGGATTGTATAACCTGCAGTACATCCATCAGTAAAGGGATTGTATAACCTGCAGTACATCCATCAGTGAAGGGATTCTATAACCTGCAGTACATATATCAGTAAAGGGATTGTATAACCTGCAGTACATCCATCAGTAAAGGGATTGTATAACCTGCAGTACATCCATCAGTAAAGGGATTGTTTAACCAGCAGTACATCCATAAGTAAAGGGATTGTATAACCTGCAGTACATCAGCCAATTTGGTCCAGCTAACAGCTCAGCTGTGACAAGGAGATGTAAATTTCGAAAGTAGATACATTATTTGTATAGTATGCTTATTTCATACCTTTGATCAAATATGACACTACAAATAATTCCCGAGATTTTAAATGTACAAATATAAAAGTTTTTTGAGCTGCTGAAGACCCAAGCCTTGAAAAGAGAAAACCCAAGGTGATTGGTTTTTACTGAACTCAAGGCCATCCAAAACCCGGGTCTTTACTTGGCTCTAAGGAGACACAAAGACCTGGTACTCTCATGGTTTGCAGTGTATTCATTGTGCTGACCGTCTAATCTCCAGGTTTACAGTGCATTGATTGTGCTGACCAGTCTAATCTCCAGGTTTACAATGTATAGGTTGTGCTGACCGGTCTAATCTCCAGGTTTACAGTATATTGATTGTGCTGACCGGTCTAATCTCCAGGTTTACAGTATATTGATTGTGCTGACCGGCTAATCTCTAGGTATACAGTATATCGATTGTACTGACCGGTCTAATCTCTAGGTTTACAGTATATTGATTGTGCTGACAGTTCTAATCTCTAGGTTTACAGTATATTGATTGTGCTGACCGGTCTAATCTCCAGGTTTACAGTATATTGATTGTGCTGACCGGTCTAATCTCTAGGTTTACAGTGTATTGATTGTGCTGACCGGTCTAATCTCCAGTTCTGCTGCTAAACTATCTTGTCAGAGCTGTACTAAGATTTCAAAACTAGCAGGAGATCTTCTTACTGGAGACGAATCCATTCAAGGTACATTTAGATACAAAACTAGCTTGACAACATAGCTTGACAACATAGCGTGACAACATAGCTTGACAACATAGCTTGACAACATAGCTTGACAACATAGCTTGATAACATAGCTTGACAACATAGCTTGACAACATAGCTTGACAACATAGCTTGACAACATAGCTGTGCCTGATAACTAAATTTTTGCTTATACAAGTCAACCCCTCAACTTTTCTACCAAACTATAGGAACACCAAAGTATGGAGAAAATCTGTTAAGTGGTTTATAAGTTATGATCGGATACAAACAAACAAACATAGATAACTACTTGAAGTTAGGTTATATTTGGCTGAATTCGATTTCCAAAGAGTAAACTTTTAACTTCAAGGACTTTGGTTCTTTTTCTTAAATTGATATTTCAAATGGGGAGTAATGCAACGTCTGCATATACATTTTTTAAATCTACTTCAAGACTATAAAACTTGCATTTAAAAAATTGATTTAATGTTAAATTGACTGCTCCTGATGTAAATTGTATATTAAGTGCAGGTAGTTGTTCCTAATGTATATTGCATATTGTGTATTGTTTATAGGTCAGTTGTTCCTGATGATTCATGGTTTATTGTATATTGTATATAGTATATTGTGTATTATAGGTCAGTTGTTCCTGATGTATATGGCATATTGTGTATTGTAAATTGTATATTGTGTATAGGTCAGTTGTTCCTGATGTATATGGTATATTGTATATTGTATATAGTATATTGTGTATTATAGGTCAGTTGTTCCTGATGTTTATGGTATATTGTATATTGTATAAAGTATATTGTGTATTATAGGTCAGTTGTTCCTGATGTTTATGGTATATTGTATATTGTGTATTATATGTTAGTTGTTCCTGATGTATATGGTATATTGTATATTATATTGTATTTTGTATTTTGTATATTGTATATTGTATATTGTGTATTGGTCACTCGTTTCTGATGTACATTGTATATTGAATATTTTAAATTGTATTTTTTACATTGTATATTGTGTATAGGTCAGTCGTTCCTGGTGTATACATTGTATATTGTATATTTTATAGGTCAGTTGTTCCTGTTCAAGGATTCAGTTTGTGCGGAGGTTGCTGAGAAGTTTAACTACACAGAGTGTAGCTCAGAGGTCACGTATTTATACACACGATTTATATTCGCATTTTTTTATGTTAAATTTATATTTTATAGATGGAGGATGTTTGGCCTCTAATTGCTAAAGGTAAATATCATGAAGCAGAAAAAGGTTTTAAGAAAAATTTTAAAAACTAAAAGAAATTTATTTTAACTATAAATACAAGATAAATTGACTAGATATTTTTTAGCCATCTTTAACTCTGAGGAAGGCTGGTTTAAAACTTCAACATTTTGTTCAGAATACTGTTCTGAGGATCAAAGTGAAGAGGTGAAAATAATATCTGACTATTTCTAACAGGAACAGGAATAACCTACTATTACTAGGATAGATAGATAGATAGATAGATAGATAGATATTTGACTAAATATTTAATTTAAAACAATTTAAATTGCACAATTTTTGCATTTTAGTTTAGTCAGGGTCTCTCTAACCATTGTTGGTTGTTTTGAATGAGAGGCCCTTCTGCAGCGAATTCAATTTAAATAATACAAAATAAAACAAAAACAATTTAGAACTAAAGGAAAAGGAGGAAAAGGAAAAGTAGTAGATAGAGGAAAGGTATTGAAGAATAGAGAGGAAAAGAAGAAGAAAGGAACAGGAACAACCTACCGTTACTAGGGTGAAGGAACAGGAACAACCTACCGTTACTAGGATGAAGGAACAGGAACAACATGCTATTACTATAAACAGGAATATGAGTCAGGAACCTTCTATTACTAGGATGAGGGAACAGGAACTACCTACTATTACTATAAACGGGAATATACTAAAGGAACCTTCTATTACTAGGATAAAGGAACAGGAACAACATACTATTACTATAAACAGGAAAATGAGTCAGGAACCTTCTATTACTGGTATGAAGGAACAGGAACAACATACTATAAACAGGAATATGAGTCAGGAACCTTCTATTACTAGGATGAAGGAACAGGAACAACATACTATAAACAGGAATATGAGTCAGGAACCTTTTATTACTAGGATGAGGGAACAGGAACTACCTACTGTGAGGACTGTGTTGACTATATGGATGCTGTTCCTAAGTACACATATGATGATTCAATAATTATCGGAGATGTTGTTTATGCTTTGCAGTATGAGGGCTTCTGTCAACAGGTTTGCCGCGTCACATTCTTTTCAGAAATTTAAATTTTGTAGATATTCATTTTTTAAGATAGGAAACCTGTACACTGTAAACGGTACCTAGTACAATATGTTGTACCCGGCTAAGTCGCTAACTCAAATATCTTTACCAACATGGTTTTTTTTATATATATATATACTTGAAAGCATTGTTCAAAAATGTCCAATTCAGGAAAACTAAAACTGTTTTAAAAATATCTTTAGAAACTCGAAACCGCAGGTTCTATCGTTTATTACTTAAAACCTGTTAAAATAATATAAGTTTGTTACCCTATTTATAAAAAGAATTTAAATTTTAAAATTATAATGATGAAAAATTAATAGATTATATTGTTCAACTTGTCTTCTAGTTTGAAGATAGCACAGAGGACTGCAGAGAAAAGGTTGCACACACATTTCCCAGGTATTAAACTCCAAGTATAAGGTGGGTTTAAGGGTTTAAGCTTACTAAAATGTGGATTTAGCAGGTAAAATGCCCATGAAAGGGGGGAGGTCGGAGATGAAACATATTGCTCTAAATTGCCGGCTTACCTTTGAACCAGTTGGTCTAATATTTTATTTTATTTCTCTTTATCTATATGTTATTGTTGTTATTTGTAATCATGAATCTAAAATATATTTTGTTTGCTTTAAAAATCTTCGGAACAGAGACTGAGCACATTTCCGAATATAAGCTTAGCCTAACTTTTGAAGAGTTTAAGAGCATTTTAGAGCAACATTTTAATAAACGACTAAACAGATTTGAAAAAAAGATTAATATATAGTTCATATTTCATAAAATTTTAGATTTTTTAAAATAATATTTCGCTGGCGTTGGATTTTCGAACATTCCTGGAAAATATGAAAATGACGTCTTCATTATCAAAAATCCTGGAAACAGGAATAAATGTTTTCGAAAGTAACCATCAGATCATAAAAAATATTCTGAAATATCAACTTTATATAAATGCCTCGAAAAATAATCGATGACCATTGGTTGTAATATCAGAATGATTTGTTTGGTACTAAATTGATTTTTTACGATCCGAGTTGAATATTGTAACTTTCTGAATTTGTATGGACGCTACGTTCTTCGGTATGAGTCGTTTTTAACAATTTTCTACTTATAGACGCAACAGATAGAAGTAAGATTAGAAGCGATAAAAAGCGCTTACTTTTCACCGTAAGCCTATACCCCATTTCATTTTTCGCGAACACTCCCTTTGACCCAGCTTTTCTTAAAATGTCCTTATCATTAACATATTACATATGTTTATATACTTCTACAATCTACACACACATGTATTAATTTTGTTTATTATCTTCATCATGAGAACGTTAATTAACTTCCTCACTGCTTTCTTAGAATTTCAAACAGAAAAATACCCCCCCCTCCACCTCTTACACACGTCTAGGTTTTACTTCCTCCCTCTTTTCTTAGAATTTCAAACAGAAAAATACCCCCCCCCCTCCACCTCTTACACACGTCTAGGGTTTACTTCCTCCCTCTTTTCTTAGAATTTCAAACAAAAAAATACCCCCCCCCCTCCACCTCTTACACACGTCTAGGGTTTACTTCCTCCCTCTTTTCTTAGAGTTTCAAACAGAAAACTACCCTCTCCCCCATGTTTGACTATTACTTAGCCTTACCTATTCCCTGAATCAGTATACATTTATAAGTATAAATGGTGTCCCATTAATTAGCTTTTGCAGTCTTATTATCTCAATGTATATTTACGAAATTGACAGTGATATAGCTCATCATATATCTTATAAAATTCAAAATGTCTGAATACTTGATAGTGTAAAGTCAATTTTAAATAATGACCACATTTCCTTGATCAAGGACGATTTATGATAAATACTTATGTTTATTGTGACACCCTGTACAAGAATATATTATCTGCATGCAGATTATTGTGACACCCTGTACAAGAATATATTATCTGCATGCAGATTATTGTGACACCCTGTACAAGAATATATTATCTGCATGCAGATTATTTCCTCCTGTAATTTAACACTCTGTTTGTTTAACTGTATTCACTCGTAAACCAATATCCTAAATTCTCACATATTTAAATATACACCCGATACATAAACATTACAAAGCGTTTCTTTTTGAAAAAAATACTCGCCATTAAAGGGAAAATGATTACGAAAAATGAAAAGGGGTACAGGCTTACGGCAATAAATAAGCGCTTTTGATCGATTCTCATCTTACTTCTATCTGCTGCGTCTATAAAGAGAAATTTTTTAAACATAGCTCATACCGAAGAACGTAGCGTCCATACAAATTCAGAAAGTTGCAACATTCAACTCGGATCGTAAAAAATCAATTTAATTCCAAACAAATCATTCAGATATTACAACCAATAATCATCGATAATGTTTCGACCCATTCGAATTTAGTTGATATTTCATAATATTTTTTGTATTTTTTATGATCTGATAGTTAATTTTGAAAATATTTATTCCTTTTCGAGGAATTTTTAAAAAGAAGACGTCATTTTCATATTTTCCAGGAATGTTCGAAAATCCAGCGCCAGCGAAATATTATTTAAAAAAAAAAAAAATATTATGAAATATTAGCTATATACAAATGCGTCGAAAAATGATCGATGACTATTGTTTGTAATATCTGAATGATTTTTTTTTACACTTTTTTATTTAATCTTTGTAAACATGTCAACTAATGAGAGAAAATGAGACACTTATGACGTCATGTATAATTTGCCCATTTCTTTATTGCGACTTATTGTACTTGATAATCTATTTGCTGTAAACGTAATTTCAAGGATGCAATGTCCGATATAGAACGGTAAACCCTTCAAAGTTTGTCTGATCCCTACACACGACACCTTTTTGATCAGATTTAGGTTTCTAGGATACCGTTGTAAAACCTCTGTATGGAGGGTCACTTGAAATTACGTTTAAAATTCCTTTCACAAATCCTGTAGTTAAGTCTCAGGCGATTTTTAAACCTGTTTTTTAAAGGATAATGCGAGTCCTGAAGTCTGCTCCTCTTCATGAAGCTCATGTTGATTTCTGCGAAAACTCGGTCGAATGTGTTTCTTTCTCATAATAATCTGTTCAACTCGTTCCAGCGATAAACTCGCACTGAGTCCGATATGTTTTTGAAACAGGGATGAAGATAATGTTGATTAGATAAATAAACATTGTTTCTGTAAATTATATATAATTTTTTATTAAATTTCATCTAAATCGGAATATTTGTGATTAGTAGGAAATTGAATATTAAAAAGAGAGGATACGTTTTCAGTCCAATAATCCCCTTTTTTAATCTCCTTTGATCCAATAATCATCTTTTTCCTTCTCCCTTAGTTCAATAATCCCCTTGTTCAGTCTAATTTGATCCAATAATCCTTATGTTCAGTCTTCTTTGGTCCAATAATCCCCTTGTTCAGTCGCCTTTGATCCAATAATCCCCTTGTTCAGTCTTCTTTGATCCAATAATCCCCTTGTTCAGTCTCCTTCGGTCCAAAAATCCACCTGTTCAGTCTCCTTTGGTCCAATAATCCACCTGTTCAGTCTCCTTTTGGTCCAATAATCCACCTGTTCAGTCTCCTTTGATCCAATAATCCCCTTGTTCAGTCTTCTTTGATCCAATAATCCCCTTGTTCAGTATCCTTCGGTCCAATAATCCACCTGTTCAGTCTCGTTTGATACAATAATCCACCTGTTCAGTCTCCTTTGGTCCAATAATCCACCTGTTCAATCTCCTTGGTACTTATTCTAATAATATAATAATTTCAAAGTTTCTAGGAAAATAGTTTTATTTATTGTCTATAATCTACATAATTCATATTAGGAAGACATTTCTTCTACTTTAAGATAAGTTTAAAGATTAGACAGGGCAAAGCAAAATAAATGGGATTCAACCCCAAATTTACACTGATTGTAGCTTTCAACTACATTTTACATCAATATTTTGGGAAACACTGCATATGAAAATATGAAACGTTATATGGCGCAAAGATTGGACAATTCAAATACATTACAGTTTCTTGAAATTGAGCAAGAGAGAAATTATTCAGAAAATAATCAACATTTAAGAAAACGTAACTTCAACACAGTTAAACCACTTTAACTTTCATCTTAGTAACAATTAAAAAAATATCATATTGTGTCAAACTTGTCTCTCCTGCATAACTCCGCAAGACGAGACCGCAATTGAATTATAGAAAGACTGCACAAATGGAGACTGCACTTGAAATAACGTTTACAGTTTTTGTAAATTTGTTTTGAACAGAGAAACACAAATCTTTGTTTTTTGAAAAATTTTACAACGTTAAACAAATAAACAAACAAACACATCATTACGTAGAAGTCAGGGTTATAGGATTTGAATCTTAATTGGGATTTAATTTCCTAATTGAGTATTCATAGCACAACTTTTTCATCTATATTAATAATAGCGATCGATCTTAAATTTTACATAAACTACATACAATTTTAAAATGATTTAATCTGTGGCACTGGGAGCACTGTTTAGCCCTGTACGAACTATCTTGGTAAACTCCTGTAGGAAACAGTATCTATGGGTAAAGCTGTTTCTTGCCATTCATAAATACGCCCATTAGAACCTGCAGCAGACGGGGGCCGGGGACCTAAATTATATTTATAAAAATATGTTTATTGAAGGTTTAACATGAAAATGATCTAACTTTAGGAGCACATCTGTAGAGCTTGCAGGCTTAACAAGAGCAAAGGAGTGTTACCTAACTAGAAACAACTCCAACTAAAATGATGGTTAACTAATTAAGAACACCTCTAAAAGGATGGTTAACAATTAAGAACACCTCTAAAAGGATGGTTTACTAATTAAGAACACCTCTTAAAGGATGGTTAACTAATTAAGAACACCTCTAAAAGGATGGTTAACAAATGAAGAACACCTCTAAAAAGATGGTAAACTAATTAAGAACACTCTAAAAGGATGGTTAACTAATTAAGAACACCTCTAAAAGGATGGTTTACTAATTAAGAACACTAATTTAGAACACCTCTAAAAAGATTGTTAACTAATTAAGAAAACCTCTAAAAAGATGGTTAACTAATTAAGAACACCTCTAAAAGAATGGTCAACTTATTAAGAACAACTCTAAAAGTATGGTTAACTAATTAAGAACACTAATTAAGAGCACCTCTAAAAGGATGGTTAACTAATTAAGAACACTAATTAAGAACACCTCTAAAAGGATGGTTAACTTATTAAGCACACCTCTAAAAGTATGGTTAACTAATTAAGAACACCACCCTGGTTAACTAATCTATAGTGCTTGTAAAGAATTCAGGAAAAACTCTATAAGAAATTGTAAGCTAACCAGGAACTTTAGGATGAACGTTTTGTAATATTTTGATAAGAATACTACTTTCAAGAATATCTTCTTCAATTTAAGGAATTGAAACCATTTTAATACCAACTTGTACATCCCACAAAAGGGTGCGTGGGTCAAACCTACCTATAACTGATCCTGGAGGAAGGGATGCCGGGATCAAAGCTCGAACTGGAGCTTCAACTATTCGAATATTGTTCCGTCGAATTCGTCTTCGATATCTTAATAACAAAAATTTTAAAATCTTCAAAATGTTTTATTGATCCCGCAGCTTTGTATTTCCTGCGATCTTAAATGTTATATATAGAAGGGAAAAAAAACTATCGTTGTCTTCAAGTTTAGCGGAAACATAATTCTCAGAATGGTTTCATGACTCCGTGGGTAAAATTTGATTTAAGATTTCTGCAATTACAATTATCATTTTAGTTCAAGATTGTAATTTTTCCTTTTTAGAACTTATCAAAAACTGATAGACAATAATAAACACTGAACATTAACTGTACACTGTACACTGTAGTCTGTACAGTGGCATATCAAATATATTTTACATGGAACCTTGAACTGAATATAATCGAGGAATAACTCTGATTCTGAATAATAAAAAAAAACTTACGTCGAATATAAACAGGAGAGTACAATGGCTGCAATGAATGCAACAACTCCGATGAAAAGAGCAATTACAAGTATACAGATCTGAACCCAACTCATCTTATACGTGGATCTAAATATAAATTGTTTTACGCTTCTTAAAAGACAAGGAATATCTTTCAATACTTATATACTAATATTTCAATGTGTTTCTCCAAAAAAAACCTAAAAAAATAAATAAAAAGTCCTCCCAAAAGCCTTTGACTCATAAAAAATTAAATAGTTATCCGTAACGTATATGTACACAGGCATGCAAGTAAATTTTGCTTGTAATTGTTGCATGTAATTGTTGAATGTAATTGTTGCATGTAATTGTTGAATGTAATTGTTGCATGTAATTGTTGCATGTAATTGTTGCATGTAATTGTTGCATGTAGTTGTTGCATATAATTGTTGCATACAATTGTTGATAAGTTTGTTTGCAAGATGTTTCATAATTTATAAGTATCATTATTCATTTTCACAGAGTCACAAAAAATAAACGTTTACATTTATTGGGTACTAGCTGAAGGGCCCGGCGTTGGCCGTGGGAAAAAAATTTGATTTTTTTAAAATTTAACACCGTCTGGCTACCCTTGAGTGTCCACAAAAACTTTCAGCATAATCGGTCCAGCCGTTTGGCCGGCTATACGCAACATATATATGAATGTCTTTTTTTATTATTTAGATACATATATATATTTATATATGGAATACTAGACTGAAGAGCCCGGCGTTGCCCGTGGAAAAAAATTTGATTTATTTTTCAAATTCACAATATTATTATACCTGACACTAGCACATCGTTCTACACTGATAACACGATATTTATCCAACTTCTCTTTTAATCCTGTAAACAAATTTATTTTATTTATTGTCGTTCTTTTTTAAATTTTGATCTTCGAACCAAGGTCGTTAAAATATTTACCTGGATTTGAAGTTGTATCGAAGAGAGTTTGAACAGAATTAAGTTGAATTGCGTCATTATCCTTCAGAACTTGAAAACATGAACTAAACAGAAAACAATATTATTTAAAGTTAAAATTTTTTAAGATCTGGGTGTTTTCCATGATTTAGATATACATAATTATACAAATATTTGTGGGATGCTTTCTGGGATCGTGATTTGTAATCTGTACAGTCGGAGATAGTAAACATTGTTTGTAATGTGTACAGTCAGAGATAGTAAACATTGTTTGTAATGTGTACAGTCAGAGATAGTAAACATTATTTGTAATCTGTACAGCCAGAAATAGTAAAGATTATTCGTAATCTATACAGTCAGAGATAGTAAACATTATTTGTAATCTGTACAGTCAGAGATAGTAAACATTATTTACAGTTTTGGAAAATGATTTAAATATCTTTGTTGTTGTATTTTTTAATTTCTATTTCGAGCTTAGAAAATAAATCGTTATTTTACGGTTTTAACTTAAATAGTGGATTGATTATGATCCATGTTTATAACGTGTACACTGTACAGGGTTTTAAAAAAAATGAAACTTTAATGATGACCTTGACTCTATAAATACTACGATTTAAAGGTTTTATTTGTTAATTTGCAACATACAATGAGAACCAGAAAACATCGGAACAGGAATACGACTTTTAGACTCGAGTTATAACTTTGAACACATCAATAAACATTATACACAGCAATTGTGCAATGTATACAGATTCATTTTTCGGAATAGTTAATTTAATAAGTTAAAAGTAAAACTTTTTGCTTTGTAACGGCAAAACCACATAAGTTTTCTGGTTCTCATTGTAGGCTTTCTCTATGTTAATAAAAGGATGATGAAACAACAGTGCAATTTTAAAATATTTTTCGTCTTTGAAATATCATACTTGTTGGGGTAATCCTGTATTGTATTGTAGTGTACAGTCGTCTTGGTATATTTCAATGCAACGAAGACGACTTTCGATTTATATTAAATACCTAACAAACTTTCAAACAGCTTGGATACATCAAAAACATAAAAAATAAAATAGCTGTCAATTAAGAGCCTCTCTTTGTTTACTCGTAAACTTGTAATTTCCAAAAAGCTTGTAAGATATAAAAACATAAATAGAAAATCGTCTTCCCTGTAGTGATATAAACGCTGACCATCGTTGTCTTAAGCTAAACTAAGCCTATTATATTATGATGATGAATGACCTTGTTCTGCCAAAGTCCAAGCTCCCGTCGTACTTGCTGTAGAACTCTGTGTCGTAGATGTTGATGGAGAGAGGAAGAGTGAATGCTGCTTCAAGATCACTTTTTATCTCAGAAATATGTTTCGAAACCTTCAAAATAAGATTTGTTAAAGAGACTGTAAACAATGGTTCAAATAAACGAACTATAGACGTTATTCAAGTAACTCCCGATATTGTATGTCGGATTCCCAACGGTACCCTGAAAAGCCTGATTAAGAATGTATTTCCATCAACATTTCTTGAAAATGTATTATTTTAAATTAGGATTTTTCTAAGAAGTGACTTTCGCAAAACCAATGGGAGAAATTGTCGTAATAAAACCTGTCCGCCAAAAAAGCAACAATTTCCATATTATGGATGAGATTAAGGTTTAGAAAGAGAACAGCTGTGAATCGGACATGTCCCACTTTAACTGAAACTAATATTATAACAACATGTTCCTTTAATTTGGAATTTTTTGTTAAAAAAACTAACAAATTCACCTGAACTGGGTCATCATCGAACACAAACTTCATTAGATCTGTATCTTGAAGAACAAATATCTTGAGATGCGCATAATCTGCGCGTTCCGGGTCCGGTGTGTTGCTAGCCTTGACAGTCAGATCAAAGTAACCTTCTGAGTATTTGCCGTAGGTTCGATTAGTCTGGAGAACTCCTGTAGTTGGATCAACGATAAACACTCCGTCAAGGATATTTAGTTTCTTATATTTAGATTTAGGGTTAAAGTAGGATACATTCTGGATAGAGTAGACAACAGGGTTAGCTGCTGGGTCAGGGTCAATAGCGGTCAACTGAAACCAATAAATAATAGTTATAATAAAAATATATTAATAATAATAATAATAATAATAATAATAATAATAATAACAATAATAATAATAATAATAATAATAATAATAATAATAATACCTGTGTTAGTTCTGTATATAGTGGTGAGTTAACCCTAACCCCGAGTGTGATATTATTCTTGCTGAACTGTGGATTATTATCGTCCTGATCCAACACAAATATTTTAACCTGGATTTCATCCAACTTGGTTTTATCATACTTCTTCCTTTGAGAGAGCAGTCCCTTGTCACCAGGTTTAAAGCACCTGAGAATAATGAAACTATTTAAGATATATTTCATACGTAACAACATAGATCTAAATATTCCCTTACTGATTAAAAAAAACGCAGTCAAGAAATGATCTTTTGATCAAAAGGCATAAATATCTGTAAGGACCAGGGAGTAAGGAATAGAAAGGAGATATAACGCGCTTTGCAGACGGGTACTCCATTTGTATATGAAATATTCAGAATAGGTAATTGTATACGCAGTACATGTACTTCAGACAAATATATCTTATTCAAATGAAGTACCCGTCTGCAAAGCATGTATAATCATATGGTAGGGCGAACCGCGTCAGTTATGGTAAGGACCCTAGCTGATTGTAAGGGTGTACACTAAGTACAGACCCATCTTGTTTACCTGATAGTAAGGGTGTACAGGCCTGCCTTCTCTCTATCCAACCGTTTGTTTACAACAATTAAACCATTGTTCTCCTCATCACGTTCAATGCCAAATATTTCATCCTTGTCTCCATCTTAAATACAAATAAATATTTTAAATAAAATCAAGATTTATAAATTCGTTTTTATTTCTCCTTCCCCAAAATTATAATTAAGAGTTTGAAAAGAATTGAGTCATGGTAACAGCCACCGATTTTTTAATTCCTATGACTTTGAAACCAAAGGTCGTATATATTAGATAATTCAAACCATGAATTCTGGAAGATCAAAAAATCTAAGTTTGAAATATCAAAGGTTTATAACATCAGGTTGCGAACATTTAAGAATTTGAAATCCTGAATTTATGGCCAAGACTCAATTCCCATTCAAGTAATTAACCTCAAAACTGTTAACAAGAAAAATACATGCCTTGGTTATTGACGATAAAATAGTGAACTACCTATAATCGCATAATCAATCTCTGCATTACGATCTTCATCTTCATCAACAGCAGATACTATTCCAATCTTATTCCCTAGCTCCATCTCCTCAAGCACTTCCATTGTCAGAGGAACTGAGTTTCTTTGCCTGTGGAACTGTGGAGGATGATCATCAATATCCTTAACTATTACAGACAGTGTTCTGGTAGCTTGTTGTACAGGGGTACCCAGGTCCCTTACTTCAATAGTTAGAGAATATTCTGCCCTTGTCTCCCGGTCTAGAGCTGATATAGTAGATATTAATCCTGTGTTAGGATTGATGATGAACAGCTGATGGATTATGCTCCCGTCTTCAGGAAAACTGTACACAAGCTTCCCGTTTGCTGTGTTAGGATCATCCCGATCGCTTGCCTCGCACTGAAATACAAATGTGCCCACAGGGGCCTCTTCAAATACTTCTGCTACATCTCCTACAGCAGGACGTTGGAACTCAGGAACACCATCGTTCCTTGATACATCTCCAATAGTAATATAGAGATCAGTATCTTTAAACTGTTGAACGGGATAACCTCCATCTACAGCTCGTATAGTGATGATGTAAGGTTCTCTGCGCCCCCTGCCAGTCAGAGTACCTCGAGTGTACACTCGACCCGTCTTCTTGTCGATACTGTAAAGATCCTGGATTTGGCTTGGGTTCGCAAAGTCATATGTAACCTCACTGTTTACACCGACATCAGGGTCAACTGCAGATACCTGGACTACTAGAGTCTGAACAGGACTATTCTCTGGGACTACAGCAGTATACCTGGACTGAACGAACTGAGGAGGAGAATCATTAACATCTTGCAGGCTAACCTGGACCAGAACCGCTGTGGACTTCTGATCAGCCCCGCCTTCAGGTAGATCACGTGCGACCACCTTTAGTGAATACTCAGCCTGAACCTCACGGTCCAGGTTAGATCTACCACGCTCACCAGCCTTAACAGTGATGTGTCCCTCGGTAGGATGGATGGTGAACTGTTCTGTTCCCTCTCCCTCTAAACTGTAAACAATTGAACCCATCTCCCCTGCATCATCATCAACAGCAGCTACTGTTACCACTGGAGTTCCAGGTAAAACATCTTCAGAGATCTTAGCGCTGTAAAAAGATTCCAGGAACCTTGGCGCATGATCGTTTACATCCTTGAGCTTGAGCGTAATATGTGCCTCACTACGCCTTTGCTCACCAGATGCGCCGGCTAGAGCAGCTACTGAGAAACTTATAGACTTAAACTTCTCGAAATCAAGGCGCTGCGTGCTGGTAACGGTACCAAGCTGAGAAACCTGTATTATATCATTCATATCAGACTCAGTCTGCAGCTTTTGGTAATTTGTTATCAGCTGGCCGGTCACAGGGTCCTTCGCAGTAAGATTGAGGAGTGGAGTACCAGGAGGTAGTTCCTCATCTATCTCTAGTTCAAGAGTAGGATCACTAGGAGTCCAGGGAGCAGGGAATACAGGACTATCAGCATTAAACGCCTGAAAATATGGTTTTAAAAACTCAAACAATAACAATCACGCAAAAAAGTCTCTACCAAATTAATAAGCAATAAGTCAACTAGCTTTTTAAAAACGCCTAGTTTATGAAAATCTATATAATTTCAGAAGAAAACAAACTATCAAAGTTAGATGTGAAATGTGATAAATCAACAAAGCAAGACGAAAATAAAATAAAAATTACCTGAATGAAGAAAGTTGCTTCAGCAGTGGCAGTTTGGTTTCCAATTTCTGCATTCTTATCTGTAACCTGCAGAGTGAGAATAATCACGGCTGCAGAGTTATAGCTCAGTTTCTCATTTAAGAATATTCGTCCGTTCCTAGGATCTATGTTGAACGCTGATTTAAAATCATACGCGGCAACAGTCTTGAGCACAGATCCACTCTTGTCACGTGCTGTTATAGGTTCAACAATATCGTATTCCAGCTCGGCATTGCGATCTGGGTCCTCAGCTGTTACACTGAGAACCTCAAAACCATTGGGTTCGTTTTCAAGAACATATTCTGTGTAGGATTCCTTCATAAACTTTGGTGGCTTGTTGTTAACATCCTCAACATTGATTGTAAGTTTGGCTGTTCCAGTTTGTTTAAAGGGTTCCCCTGAATCCGTTACATGGAGCTCAAGCTCGTATAGTTCACCGTTCTCATTGATATCCAGAACAGCGTCCTCGGAGACAGAGAGGACACCGGAGGTTGGGTCGAGGACAAAGTTATCCTTGGATCCAGAGTAGATGGTAAACCTAAACAGAATATGTTTGAAGGATAGCTGTGTCTTATTTTTTATAATAAAAAAGTAAGAACTAAGACAACTATATTAAGAAACACTTTTATTTTAAGGGGTTTAATCCGATCTGTTTGGAGCAGTTACTTTAAAAATGAGAAAGTTTTAGAGTAAATTTTTTTTTACCTGAGATCTGAATCTTCTCCATCAGGATCTTCAGCCTCTACTATCAGCAGAACCTCTCCAGGTTTACTGTCCTCTCGGAGCTTGACATTATAAGTTGGGAACTTAAACTTAGGTCTCTGGTTCCTTGTGCTCCCGACGTTGATAAAAACATTAATATCTGCATGCAGAGGCTCCGGGTTACCCTGATCAGTTGCTCTGATAACCAGATCATATCGACCATTCTCGGTATCTTCAACACTTGCAGGTTTCAGCATGCTTAATTCTCCAGTAAGAGGATCAATTTCAAAGATGACCGCATCTGTGTTGATCGACTTGATTGCATAAAAGACCCGGCCATCACCCTGTGTTGGACCATCCTTATCCGTAGCCTTTATTACTAGAGGAGGTTCAAATTTAGAATCCCCAACTCTAACTACTCGTTTGTATTCTGATTGATCAAACTTTGGATGGTTATCGTTCACGTCTTCGATATTTATAATCAGAGAAGTTGTCGCGAGCTGACCTCCACCGTCTGTAGCTGTAAAGATCAAAGAGAAAGTTTTCTGGGTTTCATAATCTAGACAAGATCCTAACCTGGAACCTTGTCTTGGCTTCTTCGGACCACAGGATGCAACACTTATCTCTCCCGAGTTCTGCTCGACAGTAAACTTCTCCGAACCAAACCCTCGGATGGAATAAATTATTTCCCCGTAGGATCCTGAATCTGGGTCTTCAGCTGCGATAGTTCCAAGCACAGTTTCAGAAGAAGCATCTTCAGGAATATTAAATTCATAAACTGACTCAGAAAACAGCGGAGTGTTGTCATTACTATCAGTAACTATTACAGTTACCCTGGACCTGACTTGAACACCGGAAGGAGTTTCTGCAACAACGTCAAATATAAACTCTTTAGCCAGTTCGTCCTCGTGATCTAGCCGTTGAGGATCCTTCACTCGAATAATGACCGGGGTTTTTCCGATGGCTGACTTTGGATAAACGTAAAACACTCCTTCAGAGTTGGGAGTGACAGGTTCCAGGTACAATGAGAACTTGGCGTTTTTGCTGACATCCCGGTCCATCACCTCCAGGGTTAAACCAGGCAGAGGCGTGTCTGCTCCTGTAGAATAATAATAAATGTTAAAAATACGATTTCCCGTAACATTTGAAGTAAACATTGCTAATAACAAGATATTTTGGTATTTATTTAAAACATAAATGATTCTAATTAAAAGTAGGTGATTTAAATATCCTTCCAAATTAACAACTTAATTATCTGGAATAAAGAGAATGTCGTTGTCATTTCAAGTGACCCTCTATGCACCATAATACAAACACACGTTGTGCATCAGTTAAATTCAGGAATCGATATTCTGACCATCCTTACCTACGTCTTCAGGGACAGGAACAGCTATCTCCTGTCTACTAAACACAGGAACTTCGTCGTCTATATCTGTAATTACAACAGTCACTCCCGTAGAGGTCTCTGCTCCGATCTCATCTTGAGCTGTTATCTCGCGCGCTACAATCTAAAACATTGACAATTTTAAAGAGAATGTTGACTTTATTTCGAGTTACCCTCCGTTTACTAATAAGTTAAATGCCTGATTCTTAAAGGTACCCTTTAAACTTTTATTTGAGAAACAATGACAGAGGCTCAGTTGTTATCCTATTTGACTGAATAATTTTTAATTAGGGTTTCTTTATAAAAAATAATTATGGATTATGCAGCAAGGACAATAAATAAAATCATTTAAATCTACTAATTTAAAGATATAAAAACGCCTAGGTCATCCTAATAGTTACTCAGATAAAGGTATGAAAGGGTACCGTTGTTGATCAGCATTCTAACTTTTTAACTGTCGGTTCATTTGAGTTGATTGTAAAATTAATAATAGTTAAGAAGATAACGACTGTCAAATCAATAAAGATGATAATGATGAGTAACACAATATCTATAATATATACCTTGAATGTATACAGACCTCCCTCCTGAAGAATAGATTCTTGTTCTCTATCTATTCTTTTCTCTGTTGTTCTTAAACTTAATCTCTTCACTCCTGTTTCAGAAGTTCCAAGATCTCTGAATAATTACGAGTATATATATATATATATATATATATATATACTTTTAATGTATTATGAATGCTGTTCCCGTCACTAAGTTAGAGTTGAAGAAAACTACAACAAATAATGCAAATATGTGATTTATGCTGGGTTTTTTTAAATCAAAGTGATAAAATCTGGGAGAAAATTCTAATATAGATATTGAAATGTTCGGAAATTAAAAGTTTTGAAAAGTAAAAAGATTATTATTTATATCTAATGTTCATTTTTTTTCTTATTAAATAAATAAATAAACTTACATGAGCTGAAAATATTGAAGATTATCTCCTTCAATTCTTACATCAAGATCCCGGGGTTTACCTAACAATTCAAGAAACTATAAATTTAAAAAATAGTAACATGGTCGAAATAATGTGCAAAATAGAGCTATAAAGGAAGTGAATTCTTGCCACAAACTCAAACTTTCTAATTTTTTGACCTGATTGTGTAATCCTTTGATTTTTCAATTTTATCTAACAGAATTTGAAAAATCAAAGGTCTACGACATCGTATTCAGGTTGCATACATATATAGTTTGTGGCAAGAACTCAGTTCAATCATATTATCTTCAGACGAAAAGATAAAATGAACCTTATTTTCCTAATAAAAAATATTACTTAATTAATCAAACTTACCAGTATCTCCGTCTCTAACTTCAATATCAAATATCTCAGTATCCTAAAAGTAACTGTAAATAATCATATTCTTTTTAAGATCATAAATATAGAATGAATTTAAAACCAATGAAATTTAAAGATCCTTCCTAATAATTATGATTAGATTTTACATAAAGAGAAGGATGAATGAAAGAAAGGACGAAAGAACAGAGGAATGAATGAATGAATGAATGAATATAGGTTTAAAAACGAACCTGTTTTGTATCTTCTGGTATATTCGCTGAGTATGGAGAATTTAAAAACACCGGATCTTGATCCTGTACATCCTCCACCTAAAGTACAGTACAGAACAGTACAATACGGGGTTACTGAGGTACAGTACATATATAATCTAATCGTTGGGGTCTAATTGCATTCCGTTTTAGTTAAGCACTTTTAAAATCAGGACCAAAGAATATTATTTAATATTCGTAGATTCTTTTAAAAACAATAAACTGACATTGATTTTTAAAGTTATGAGAAGCTAAAATTGAAATTCCGCTCAATTTGTCTGAATAATTTGGTCGCGTACTTTATTCCGATAAAAGATGTTTAAGATAATATGAACCTGAATAAGAATTGATGCTCTGGCAGCTAAACGATCCTCTCCTTCTGCCTGATCAACTGCTTCAAGATCAAGGTTGTACGAGGAGACACGCTCATAGTCCAAACCTTTCTTTAGGATTACCAAACCTGGAGTGAAATCAATTAGAAACTTGAAAAAATAGGTTTTCTTAGGCTTATTTTAATTTCTAGCTACACTTTTTTATCCAGCCCTTTTCAAAGATTTCTAGACCAATTTAGGAGCAAAAACTTTATCAACTTTGTTTTCTTAGAGGATAATTTGAATTTTTTTTTCTTATCTTTTAACAGATGAATAAATTTGTTTTTTAACGAATGTTTTCATTTGTAATTTTTTTTTATATAAAATCTATGAAGTTTCTTTCCAGAGAAAACATATGCAGGATCCATTTTTAAAGTATAAAAGACAAAACAAGAGTTTTTTTTCACAATTTTGTCTGAAGGGTCTATCCATGGCTCCTTACCTTTATATTTTCCATCCTCTTGTTTTTCAGCAAAAATGTCAAAACTCTCACAAGCATCTACAAGAAATTTTGCAACTTGATTTTTTCAAACTTATAATATATTATTGAAATATATTTTTGATTGTTCTGTACAACGTATTGAATTTAATTCAATTTATGATTGTTATGTACAGTGTATTGAATTTAATTCTATTTATGATTGTTCTGTACAACGTATAGAATTGAAACCTGTTAAAGATTGTTCTGTACAACGTATAGAATTGAAACCTGTTAAAGATTGTTCTGAACAACGTTTAGAATTGAAACCTGTTAAAGATTGTTCTGAACAACGTATGGAATTGAAACCTGTTAAAGATTGTTCTGTACAACGTATGGAATTGAAACCTGTTAAAGATTGTTCTGAACAACGTATGGAATTGAAACCTGTTGAAGATTGTTCTGTACAGCGTATTGAAATCTCTGAGTTTCTGCCAGCATCAATATCTTCAATAACTACTCCTGTATACACTGTCTCACCAACAGCCTGCACAATATTAAGAGAATTATAAATAATTTCGTGTCGTGTTTACAGTTAATAATTACTAATTTATCCTAGGTCGGAACAGGAAAAGGACGCTGATCTAAAGTGTTTGTACTCGATATCCACAGTTGAAACTTTAATTTAGCGATTAAGGCCAAGTCCGCAAAAAACCAGCTGACATAATTTTGTTTTTTTTTCATTATAGAATGGTAATATCTAGGAGTAATCAACTCTATCTTTCGAACTATAAAATAATAAATTACAATTAATTAAAAAGTTACAACCTAAGAATAGAAATGTTAAGAGCACATATATGAAAACCAACGGAGTGTATTTGTAAGACCAGTGCTTAGGATCCGGATCCGTAACATTCTGGCTTTCTGGATCCGGATATAAGGTCAAAATATCCACCAAAACCTGATAAAAACATTTTGCTCTCAAACCCCACATCTCCATTAATAAAAAAGATAAACATTTTTTTCCTTATCTCTGAATGCAAAAAAGGAGGAAATTTTTTAAAAAATTTATTTTTAGTTTTAAAATCAGTTAGTCTTAAAGAAAAGTTCATAATCCGAATTTTGTTCAGAGGGGATCCGAAATGAAATGGATCCTAAGCACTCTATGGTCCCACAATTTGTTTATGGGCTTCTTCATCGATTAATCCCTGCAACTCTATAAGTAATGTGAGAAGGGAAATACATAAGTAAATAGTTTCCAGGAACCATAAACTGTAAAGAAAAGACTCAAATGACTCGTCTTATGCATTACAGATCAAACCTTACCTGAATCTCGGACACAGTAAAGTTGTAGGGTTTACCACGGAATTCAGGAGGATTATCGTTTCGATCCAACACTAAACAAATACAGGGGTAGAGAAAAGAATTCAGACAGACAGATTTAAAAGTTAGGAGAAAGAAAGAAGAAAATGTGCAAAAATAGAAAAAATAAGATTGTATTCTGAAGTTTAATTCATATAAATTATGTAATTGATTAGATTTTGTTCAATCTTCACTAAGTAACGGAGCTTTAAACACAAACTCTAATTTTTTAGTCCCTATATCTTAGAATCTCAGTTTGAAATATCAAAGGTTTACACCATCAGGTTGCAAAGATATTAGGATAAGAACATATTTCTTAACAATGCCAAACCTAATTAGGCTGAGTTGTTTTGAAGACTTTAACGTACAATGAAGCAACATCGTTTTTAATATGTGTGCTTCAATTAAACTAATAATACCATGTGTTTAATAACAGTTCCAATTCTGAAACACCTATAATATAAAACTTCTAGGGTTAAAAGAGAATATTAAAACTTAAGCTGGCAAACTGAGACAAACTTTAAAAAACTGTGGAATACGTTTTATGTCGTATTTATCCAGAGCTGGGGCTCAGTAACATTTCGTCTAGTACACTTTCGTCTAAGTTCACTTTTGTCTAGTTCATTTTCGTCTAGTTCTTTTTTGTTTGGTAACATTTGGACTAAGTAACATTTGGTCTAAGTAACCTTTGGTCCAAGTAACATTTGGTCTAAGTAACATTTGGTCTAAGTAATTTGGTCTAAGTAATTTGGTCAAAAAAAATTGTTAAGTGATTTCATTTTAACACTGCAAAAAAAGGAGAAAACCCGTGAAACAAAATCAAGAAATCCGCAATTCGTACAGGAGAAATTCTCCACTCTTCTAAAACACGTTGAACTGAGAGGAACTCAATGGCGGGATTAATTATGATACTCAACCAGTACTTTTGTAGATAAGTACTTCAGACCAAATTCCTTACTAAAAATTACTTATACCAAAAGTTACTTGGACAAAATGTTGCTTACTCCTTTCTAAAGTTAATTAAACCAATTCTGTAGTTTTAGACCAATTTACTTACTAAAAGTTACTTAGACCAAATGTTACTTAGACCAAATGTTACTTAGACGAAATGTTACTTAGACCAAATGTTACTTAGACCAAATGTTACTTAGACCAAATGTTACTTAGACCAAATGTTACTTAGACCAAATGTTAATAGACCAATTGTTATTAGACGAAAGTGTACTAGACGAAATGTTACTGAGCCAGAGCTGGTAGCTTTTGTATAGATTATAGTTAATCTCGATATTCAGTATGGGCACTTTTAAATTCGAGGATAAATGTTTGATCCCTTTATAGTAGTTGAGTTTTTGCCACAAACTCTAATTTTCTAATCTCTTTATCTTTGTATACCAACGTCGTAGACCTTAGATATTTCAAACTATTGATACTTATAGATAAAGTAATCTAAGTTTGAAATATCAAAGGTTTGCACCATCAGGTTGCAAAGATATTGGGATAAGAAGATTTGAGTTTGTGGCAAAAACTCAATTCCTTTCCCAGCATAAATCCGCAAGTCCTTTCATAGAAAACCCTATATTAAAAAAGATTAATTTCAGATTTCAAAATAAGAATATCTCCATCATTTCCACTGCAAACTAACCAGGATTGAGGAGAAGGTCAAATTCAAATACAAATACAAATTAATTTGGTTACATTTAAGCAATTCAAAACATTTTTGATCTTCTAATTTAATTAGATGAGTTAAAATAATAAAACATTCAAGATTTCAATCTTACTTCACGTTTAGTTTAGTTTCAAGCAGTGTTTCGGATCAATATCATTTTGATTCGGATCCGGATCCGGGGATCCGCATTCGTGATGATGGATCCGGATCCGAGGTAACTTTTGATTCTGTGAATCGGATTTTCCCTATCAAATGTTATGCAAGTTTATAATTTGTAAACTATAGTAATCCTAAAGTTAAAAATGTCGTCATTATTATTATATAAATGTAAACATTAAATTATTAAAGATAATTTTGAAAAATTTTCGTCATGTAAAGAATACATTTAAGAACCATTTTGATTTATTTATTACATGGTTTTTGTTAATTTTTGGCGCTACCCGGATCCATATCAACGTTTTCCTGATACGGATCCGGATCCGGATCCGACCAAATGATACGGATGGATCCGACCGGATCCGGATCCGAAACACTGGTTTCAAGTATGTACGGTCAGAGAAAGGTTTATAATTGTCTACGGTGGAAAATCATATAAAGGACCAATTGGAAATTATGCAGACAGTCCCTTTAATACTTAGTTTAGAGGTCTGAACTCCTTTAGACTCCAGTATAAGAAGTAGTCCCAGTATCAACATATTTTACTTTATATTCGTAATATTCTCAGAACTATCTAAATACATTTTAGAACTCCATACTCAAAACTGAAAATTAGGATTAGAAAAATCAATTTACTTGCAACTGCTTTTTTAAAAAGGAGAGTGGGAGGGGGGGGGGCGAGAAGGGGACGTTGTGAGAAAAACAAATCTTTTCTACCAAAATGTAACTTTTAAGAAAATATTTATAAACATCTATGTACATTGTACAATATTGTACAACCAAGTAAATAATAGAATATTTAAATTATATCAAATCTAATTAAATACTAGTTTGAAAACCTAGCGCTTCCCAGGTTACTCATAGCTACTCGCTACTAAAGTCGACTCTCTAAGTGGGTTTCCCATGTTCCCCAATAAAAATTTGAAGCAAATCAGTCCAGGGGTTCCTGAGTTATGATCGGACAAACAAACAAACAAACAAACACCTAAACGGACTAACAGAGATTACAACTATATTTATATAGATGTAGATATACATAATTTCCATGAAAATGAACTATATTTTGAGCCCTGAAAAGTTAAACTAAGAAGAGTAGGTTTGTAAATGTATATGAAGCGTGAAGGAGGAATGAGCTGATTAATGAAAGGCTGAAACTAGAGCTTAACTTTTATATATTTCTTCAACCAAATCCAAGAAAATACATACCTCCTAATTTTAAATACTAAATTTATAAAACTAGCCTTAGAGGGCGCTTCGCGCCCATCTTTTAAATTAATTGTGAACATGTTCTCTTTGTGTACATCGTAAAACAAAACAATAATAATTCGCGGATTTTCACAAAAAATTTCGTGGATTTTCAAAAATTTAATGAAGATCGAATTTTGATGGAGACAAATATTTGAAATTTTGATCATTCATAAACCTTCCCTGTGGTCATGTGATGTCCCACAAAAAATTTGGGCCCGATCGGTTCAGCCGTTTTGACGTTCATTGGATACAAACAGACAGACAAACATCCAAACAAACAGACAGACAAGCCAAACTTATATATATATATGCAATTGTTCTTTAATGTGCTAATAAATACAAATAAAAGATAAAAATTTCGAAAGAGTTTTTTTTTTGTATCCAGAATCAACAAAAGCTTTTTTCAATTTTACAAAATCCCATTTTATTAAAGAAAAAAACATTCGTATCTGCTTGCACCAAATAAAGAACTGATCAGAGATTTTTCTCCTAAAACTCTAAATTTCGAATTCCTCATATCTTTGCAACCTTACAGTGTATTTAACCTTTAAATATCTCATTTTTAACTATTTGAATTCAAATTTTGAAATATCGACGGTTCACCAAAAATTAGGTTTTAGGCGAGAATGTTTAAGTTTTATAAAAGGAACGATTACACTGAACACTTTACACTTACACTGTATACACACAGAGTACATGATTTACACTTATGCATCTCTCACTCAGCCCAAAACTTAAGACAGAGTATCGTAATAAAGTCCAGTATCGGAAACCTAGTTTCATGAAAGCGGTCAGACAGGTTTGTAAATACAAATATTTTGTAAAAAATTATTATTTCATTTGGTTTCTTTACATTCTTCTTTTTATTTTCTGATTTCTTAAATTAAAGTTCACGCAAAATACGCATTGCGTAGACCCCAAAAAGGAAACTTTATTAAATTTCTGGCTCTGAAGAAATGTATTTATAAGAAAATGCTGAGAAGAGATGTTTTAATTAAGATTATGCTGAAATACACTTCATAATTTACTTTCTCAAATGAAACCAGTATTCCGACAGTTGAGTTTAAACCTTCATTGCAGCATGGACTATTTTAGGTAAAATATAAACTTAGATATTGAGTCTTTGCCACAAACTTTGATTTTCTTTGCAACCCAATCCGTAGACCTTATTTATTTCAAACTATGAATTCTGTTCCATCAATAATCTAAGTTTAAAATATCAAAGGTGAACACCAACAGGTTACAAAGATATAGGGATTAGAAAATTAGATTTTGTGGCAAAGACTCAATTCTTTTGAATATTTGATCTAACAGATTTAATCAAAAAATATTACTTCTTTCAAATGCAAGACTGAGACAGTTTTTATATTTTTGTGCTTTTAAACTAACAATCCGGGATTTGGTTAAAATATATATAATAAGAAATTTGATCATGTGATAATGTATTTAGATTGATGTTGCTACTTTTCCCTCTAATCTCTGCAGAAACTAGATACAGGTACAGATACAATTTTTTAAAAAGCTGATTGTTTTTTGACCGGGAGGGAGGGAGGTTAGAACTTATTCAGGTTTTTCTTTGGCTTTCAGGTTGCTAGGATTGTTGGCGATTTTTTGGGCACACATAAATTATTGCTCTTCAGGATAAATAATAATTCTATGTTATTCCAGAAATTTGAGCGAAAATACGGTAGATTTTAAGAGTAAGGGAGATTCTGGTTTGGACCCAAGCATACAGGATTCTGATTGGGACTCAAGTAATACGGATTCTGGGTCGGATCTTAGCAGACAAGATTTTGCTTCGAATGCAAACAAGAAAAATTCTCAAACTGGTGATGGCAGGCTTTTCAGTCTCTTCACCATTGTTCAATTCAAGTAGGATTTTTAGATATTCAACACTTTTTTAAATTTTATAATTGTTCAATCAAATTTTTATTTGTTGAACATATTTAACCCAGGGATATTGTTTTTAGAAATATGGGTTGTGTGTCTGGTAACTTTACTGGAACATGCATGACATCTAGTGAGGTAACATATAGGTTGTGTGTCTGGTAAATTTACTGGAACATGTGTGACATCTAGTGAGGCAACATATAGGTTGTGTGTCTGGTAACTTTACTGGAACATGTTTGACATTTAGTAAGGTAATATATAGGTTGTGTGTCTGGTAAATTTACTGGAACATGTTTGACATTTAGTTAGGTAATATATAGGTTGTGTGTCTGGTAACTTTACTGGAACATGTTTGACATTTAGTGAGGTAATATATAGGTTGTGTGTCTGGTAAATTTACTGGAACATGTTTGACATTTAGTTAGGTAATATATAGGTTGTGTGTCTGGTAACTTTACTGGAACATGTTTGACATTTAGTGAGGTAATATATAGGTTGTGTGTCTGGTAAATTTACTGGAACATGTATGACATCTAGTGAGGCAACATATAGGTTGTGTGTCTGGTAACTTTACTGGAACATGTGTGACATTTAGTGAGGTAACTCCTATTTATTAATTCAGACACAAGTTTCTTATTCATGGTTGCTTCAGTTAAAAGCTCGATTCACAATCCCAACGCTGCTATTAAATATGCAATTCCCTTTTAGAGAAAACTGCAATTAAAAGATTTTTTATATTGAATAGCAATAATAGTTCAATCATTTTTGCTCAAACTGAGGTTGAACAAATTTCGTTGTGAATCGTGAATGGAACTCTTAAAATAAGAGGTCATATTTTAGTATCTATTCTAGCATCTATTCTAGCATCTATTCTAGCATCTATTCTAGTATCTATTCTGGTATCTATTCTAGTATCTATTCTAGTATCTATTCTAGTTTCTATTCTAGTATCTATTCTAGTATCTATTCTAGTATCTATTCTAGTTTCGATTCTATTATCTATTCTAGTATCTATTCTAGTGTATATCTTGTGGTGGTAGTGGATCTGGAAGCTGTGCTGCAGGGTTTGGAGTTTGTTGTATAGTTCGATCATCAACTTGTGATTCAATGATAACAACAAATACAACATATATCTCAAGCTCAGATACATCAGGGGTAGGATAGAATATAAAACAAAGAACAGTAATTTTAAAACCGTGTTCTTGTTTTTGACCAGAAATTTTCTCTTTTTCACCTCTATGGGAGGGTGTTGGGGCGAAAAGGAAATATAAACATAATATCAATGTGTGTTGTTGGTATTATTTTCTTTTTCTCAAAGTTTAGATGTGAAGATCAATAATTTGGGATTTTTTAAATATGTTTAATTTTTAGGGTAGCTGTAGTTATAAAATAGCAATCCCTTCAAATGTTTGTCAGATTAGACTTGACTTTCTCAAGCTTGAACTGGATGGACCAACAAACAATGCACAGGTCAATTATTCTATTTTTCAATTTTAAGACAACCTTTAGTTAAAGTTTCTATAATCTATTAAAGTTACAAAAAATATGGAAATATTTGCTTTTCTAAAAATCTTCGAACGTTTTTTGGTTAAAAGTAAGGAGATGAGTTTATATTTTTATGTAAAATAATTTTTTGCCCCCCCCCCC